TGATCACTTCTTACTGCAATCCACAATGAAGTTTGCTAGTTTACAACATGATTAACTTGAGTACGGCGGCGGATTTTATATATGCTATTTTCTATGACATAAAGAAGTGTGATCGGTGACGAACTCTCTTTTAAGGTAGCCACAGATTACCCGTGGTATCACAAAGGGCATTATTGCAAGGGATGATATTATAAAACTTTGATATGTTATTGTACAGTATGCTTTGATCCTAACATATATCATCAGCCCAAATCTCCAATAGTGCTGTTAGTGTTGCGACTGTTGTAAGCCAGTGTTAGATTATGGGAGATTATGGGAGTAAGCATTGTCTTACCATTAAGATTGTTTAGTTGAACAGGTACCTGGGCCATTTATATTATGTTTGATATGAGGACACTACTATACATATATTAAATGGATACTGTTTCTACAACCACTCACATGTGTACCCAGATCTGATCAACGTAATAACATCACTGGGTCATATTACATAAAGTTGATAAACACAGTTGAAGACAAATTCCAGCAGGGTGTATGACAAACATGTGTTTATCCAGTTGCAAGGTGAGCCATCCAGAGGTTACCACATCACCAGGCCTGGAGAGAAAGGGAGCACCTGTCCCAGACAAACAATGGGCGAGCCATGACCCCACCTACAGCCCACAGATAACTGTCTTGCCCCCAGTACCTTCAGCCGGGAACATCAGTTGTGTCTCGTCCAGTTTACACTGCAGTACCTATGGTAACCTTTTCAAAAGAATGAATGTTGGGAGGTATATTCAGCTACTTCAGCCATTTGTTGAAGTTATGAAAGTGAGTGAGTTTAGTTTTGCGCCGCTTTTAGCAATATTCCAGCAATATCACGGCGGAAGTTATGAAAGAAACACTTAAGAAATACACTTCGCTCTACCACCATGTATAGTGTAATAAAACACACTTTTGCCCTGAACTATTATAGTTAAAGCACGAGGACGCTTGATTACGAGGGGGCACACTAGAATGGCGCAGTGACGGGATAACGTCATTCAATTGTTACGTCATCAAAAAACTATACCTTTATTGTCTGATAATGTATTTTTTTTTTTGATTGTTCTAACCGCTAGACATCTTAGAATGTCTCATAACATACCATCTTGCATGTTGTAAAAATGATGAATGCTTAGTGTCTGAAAATATCTAACTCTGAGAGAAACACATAGTTCCATTTAAATTGAAAAAGAGCCAGTGTGAGATAGGAGATTCAGCCTGTAGAAATAGAGAACATAGAAATAACATGAAGTTGGTATAGCTTTCAGTTGGGTATTAAAACTGCAAGGACACATCAAATAACATCACCCTGAAAAATGCTGATCTTACATTTTTTACAATCTGCATTCATTAAAGGTCACATGCAACGTAAAACACAACTTTGCAGATTCTGATACCTTTCGGTATGGACTTACCGAAAAAAAGCGTCAAAAATGCAAATTCAACTTATAAAGTTGAAAAATAACGCGATGAAAAAAAACGCGCGAAATCAGAGTTCAAACGTTTCACTCATTTTCCCAGACTTTTCTGGGGAAAACGGGTTTCAACAGCTGGGCTAAGCTCATAGCACGCGGCGCAGTGAAATAGGTTCAGCGCAACTTGAGCTGGTTGTCCGGTGAATACTTTCGGTGAAGGCTTTGGTGTGAGCTATTTTCTAATGTTTTGTTGATATCTCACAGGCTGCGAGCTTTTTATATGTTATGACAGTAAATTAACTGTTTATATAATTTCACCACACGCTCTTCTTACCGAGTCACTTTCTCAGTTCGATACTTAAAAGCAACGCCATTATTTAGCTGACAGAATTTCTAACTGTGATATAGATATGTCGTTGTCACAGACAAAACTCAATGTCTTGTTTTATTGACATCTGTGTGTCTGCCTGCCTGTCTGCTAATGAAAATATTCAATACACATCTGCTATCACTGACCACATGTAATTTGAACTTAACACCAATCAGACTATACACCATAAACAAAATGCATTGATTTATGGCCCGAGTTTGGTCTCTGTCATATTATGTAATTACACAGACAGGCAGGTGTGATACTTGTACACATGACATGTTATGATGTCTGTTGATTGCAAAATGTTATACACAAAAACTGAGCATGTATTTACAAAACCCAACATCTCTACATATACACACACAATAAGCCGTGAGGGCATATGCAAATGAACCAGCCGTTACACTTGAGTGCACACCCACCCGCTCTGACTGGGTTCGGTATCCCGGCTGCTTCGTTTCTTGGTAAGTAAACCGAAGTACACAATATAGCACTTTTGATTTGCGATTGTACGCTTATCATTTTGTTTATATGTTTTTTCATAACCAGCAATGTATATTATATGTCACGAATAAGTGATAATTGTGTTTTAATTATGTTTGATTTTTTGGTTGCATGTGACCTTTAAGTGCTCTGGGTCATCACTGCAGGCAATTAGGCCCTGTACAGATTGCTAGAGGTTGATTGATTAGCTATTCCACTCAAGCATTTCAAAAGCGGGCAGCTAATGAATGATAAAAGAACTAAAGCATTAGCAGGATAACCTTGTACACTGTTGACACAAAAGCAGGATAACCCTGTACACTCCAGGCACAATAGCAGCAGGATAACATACACTCCCGACACATCGGTAGGATAACCCGGTACACTCCCGACAAAACATCGGCAGGATAACCTTATACACTCCCGACAAAACATCGGCAGGATAACCCTGTACACTCCCGACACAATAGCAGCAGGAACGGCGGGATAACCCTGTACACTCCAGGCACAATAACAGCAAGATAACCTTGTACACTGTTGACACAAAAGCAGGATAACCCTGCACGTTATCAACACAGCATTGGCAGGAAAACCCTGTATACTCCCGACACAATAGCAGCAGGAAAACCTTATACACTCCCGACATAACATCGGCGGGATAACACTGTACACCCCAGGCACAATAACAGCAAGATAACCTTGTACACTGTTGACACAAAAGCAGGATAACCCTGCCCGTTATCAACACAGCATCCACAGTATCCTGTACACTCAAGGATAACATACACTCCCGACACAACATCGGCAGGAAAACCCTGTACCCTCCCGACACAACATCGGCAGGAAAACCCTGTACACTCCAGGCATAATAACAGCAGGAAAACCTTATACACTCCCGACACAACATCGGCAGGATAACCCTGTACACTCCAGGCATAATAACAGCAGGAAAACCTTGTACACTCCGGACATAACTTTGGCAGGATAACATTGTACACTCCCGACACAATCGCAGCAGGATAACCCTGTACACTCCAGGCATAATAACAGCAGGAAAACCTTATACACTCCCGACACAACATCGGCAGGATAACCCTGTACGCTCCCGACACAACGTCGGCAGGATAACCCTGTACACTCCCGACACAACGTCGGCAGGATAACCCTGTACACTCCAGGCATAATAACAGCAGGAAAACCTTGTACACTCCGGACATAACTTTGGCAGGATAACATTGTACACTCCCGACACAACGTCGGCAGGATAACCCTGTACACTCCAGGCATAATAACAGCAGGAAAACCTTGTACACTCCGGACATAACTTTGGCAGGATAACATTGTACACTCGGCACAAATCGCGGCAGGATAACCCTGTACACTCCAGGCATAATAACAGCAGGAAAACCTTATACACTCGACACAACATCGGCAGGATAACCCAACATGTACACTCCCCGACACAACGCCGCAGGATAACCCTGTACACTCCAGGCATAATAACAGCAGGAAAACCTTATACACTCCCCAACACAACATCGGCAGGATAACCCTGTACACTCCCGACAATAACGCCGGGCAGGATAACCCTGTACACTCCAGGCATAATAACAGCAGGAAAACCTTATACACTCCTAACACACAACAACCCTGTACACTCGCAGGATAACCCTGTACACTCCCGACACAACGTCGGCAGGATAACCCTGTACACTCCAGGCATAATAACAGCAGGAAAACCTTATACACTCCCGACACAACATCGGCAGGATAACCCTGTACACTCCCGACACAACGTCGGCAGGATAACCCTGTACACTCCAGGCATAATAACAGCAGGAAAACCTTGTACACTCCGGACATAACTTTGGCAGGATAACATTGTACGCTCCCGACACAATTGCAGCAGGATAATCCTATATACTCCCGATACAACATCGGCAGGATAACCCTGTACACATCATGACACAAAAAAAGTGGAATAACCCCGTACACCTCCAGGCACAACAGCAGTGGGATAACCCTGTACACCTCCTGACACAACAGCAGTGGGATAACCCTGTACACCCCCCGACACAACAGCAGTGGGAGAACCCTGTACACCCCCCGACACAACAGCAGTGGGAGAACCCTGTGCACTTAAGCAACAGTTTTGGTGTCAGTAAAACAGTAACAAACACTGATGTTACCTTCACAAACATGTACAGGATGAATGAACCATGTTGAATGACTGACTAATCTACCAAAGGCTGAGTACTGCTGGGTACAGTGGAGCATGCAAATCTGCTTTCACATTAAGAGTATTTCAAATATAACATGATGCATCAGCGTACTCTTGTGCATGTCTTAGATGTTTACTAGTTCAGTGCAGTGGTGCTGATAATACTGGTTTGAACCGACTAACATAAGATTCTGCAACACCCAGAGACTCAGCATAGCCAACGTACAGGAGGTGCATGTGAGCATTTCCTGCCACTGATGGACATTGTGAGCCGACACAACTGGAATATACCACAAAGAAACCAAGAGATGTTGACCCGCTTGTGACAAGCATGGGTTGCGTAAGACCAATCCTAATCCACATCTTCAAACATTAAACGCGTAAAATGTGATGTGTGTTGAATATCCCCTAGGCTTGCCACTGACTCTAACAGTACAATAATATTTCTTATATGAGAAGGGTAATATTTAAAAGTACTCACCATTTCATATTTACTGAGCAACTTCATTGCATACACCTTCTTAGCCCTTTTATGTCGCACCTTTGGAGAAGAATTGAAACTGATCACAATAATATCTCTTACGTGTATCAATGTATCATTAAAGGTTAAAAACATACTCCCAAACAGAGGCATTGGGATACATGATACATATAGACCTGTATCGTTAAACATGACCAAACATGTCTATAAGACAATAAGAGACAGTTTGGCATCAAGACAAAGTTACGTTCTTTGTATTTCTGGCCTGTGTCATGTTATTTTTGAGTATCGTTTGGAGATAACCTGTGTATCAAGATATATATCATGGTCTTCCAATCGCTTTAAAGAGCATACAAAATACAGTGCTATCTGAAGAGATGACTCTACTTACCAACTGTACTTCACCAAAGGCACCACGACCTATAACTTTGATCACATCAAAATCGTCTGCTTTCATACGAAGTTTCCTTAGTAAGTCTACAGTTTTTCCATCTGAAAAAGAACAGTTACAAATTATTAATTCCGTGTAGGAGAATGAAACAACTGGCATCAGTGAGTGAGTGAGTGAGTGAGTTTAGTTTTACGCCGCACTCAGCAATATTCCAGCTATATGGCGGCGGTCTGTAAATAATCGAGTCTGGACCAGACAATCCAGTGATCAACAGCATGAGCATCGATCTGCGCAATTGGGAACCGATGACATGTGTCAACCAAGTCATCGAGCCTTACCACCCGATCCCATTAGTCGCCTCTTACAACAAGCATTGTCGCCTTTTGTGGCAAGCATGGGTTGCTGAAGACCTATTCTACCCCGGATCTTCACGGGTCAAACTGGCACTGTCTGAGTTGACTGCAGTCTCCACTAACAGACTTTCATCAGCCTTACTGCCTTGTCAAGTAAAGGTGGTTATTTTATCACTCAAAGAGGTCTCTCGAGTAGGGATAGGTGTTATCACTGAAAGGCTTTAACATCTGTGCTCAGCTGTGCTGTACAACAGCCATGCAAGTTCTGTGCTTTTGACTTTGTGGCATACAGCGACAAGAAGCACAATGCAACAATCACACAATCATTGTCATGTCACTTTGAACTCATGTATATTGACTTTGCTGGCCATGTCTCATCTACAAATGGTGAATTTTACAGGATTTCTAATTAATTTCTATTCAAATTTTCAAAATAGCAAATACACCTAGAACTGTCAATATAATTTTCTATAAACTCGAATCTGGTAACAGGCCAATTATGGACAGTCATGTAATCTTTGACCTTCTTAATATTGATTGGTCATTTATCAACATCTCTTTTATGATTCACACACCAAATTTGGTAAAAATAAACAAAGAGCCACTGCATGAAGGGGATCGATATCCCTGAATGTTCAGTTCTCTATCTCAGGATGTGAATGTTCCATGTGGCCCAGGCTACCATCTGCCACCAGTCTATGTGCCCCAGCAAACAGGAGTTTGTGTCTGTCTCTTCAAATGCAAGAACTCTTAAAGGCTATTTCTGTACCGTCATGGGGACTAGGGGTTCTGTTGTTTAGTTCTTAATTTCCCCCTTCTAAAGTGGTCCCTGAAAGCTGAGTGGCTCGAGTAATTGTGTACACAAGGGAGCATTCCAGAAGCATGTGCATGTTTTGTCTGTAGTGAGCATTGTTATGCAATGAAATGAGGTGTACTCACATCGGAGAAGGAAATGTTCCACATTCTTATTCCGCTTGATGGCTGTATGATCTAGATCGGCCACCAGAGCTGTTATACTGTCCTGAAATAGGAAGGGAAAGGATGACAATACTGGACCATGCACCCCCACTGTGCAGTGTATGATATAGGGAAGAGAAACCTGTGGTCAATAATGAATCAGTGCAAAGTGCACAGGAGGTGGCCACCACTGTCCAGTCATATGTGGTCAAGTCTGGTGGGTCACCAGGATCAGCCATGCTGAGCTAGATGGAGTCATGCTGGGCTTTGTGTGTTGCAGTGAAACATCTCTGCTTATTGCTGGGGGTATGACGACACACTAAAACAGCCAGGTCATACAGGAACTGATCAGCACTCACTACCCACATTGAAGCAATCTCCACAGTGCCCTTTCTTATACAGAGAATCTCTATATTCATAATCATTTGATTTGCACAGAAATATTAGGCATTTTCAATGATAACAACTGACAACACCCCATCTGAGAAATATCTGTACATATTGTCAACTCCTGACAGGCTGAACCCCCTCCTGTCACCCTCTACAACTGGACATGTCACCAGTTATCACTGTTGCAAATACTCGTTTTATCTGAAATGTCCTCGTAATTGCAGACAAGGAACAATATTTTTCATCATACCAAAAACAAAAATAAACTGGCAGCAGTACAAAAACAAGCCATGTCATTTTATCTGTGTAGTGGGGTGGTAGAACAGTCTAAATAAACTTAGGCTCAGTATTATTCGTTACACTACTATATACTGAGTCTAACAAAACCTAGTAGAAGGTCATGTCAGCTAACCTTTTGTACTGACCAATCAGAACACAGCTTACCAAATCGTGAAAGTTAACATTTGCTCATACCGTTTGAACCTTTACCTCAAAAACTTCGAATGATTCCAAACGCTATTTTCCGCACGATCGCTTCCGAGTGATACACGCAATGAGTAAACAGTCGCTGAAAATAGCGTCTTTGTCAATATTCAAGGATGTCATCTTGGGAAAATATAAGCAAATAGTTACCATGTCATTAGAAACCCATAAGCGTATATACTGCAGGTCACATATCTGTGTTTTATGCGGATTTTTGTATATTGATAGATCAGTGTCAGCGATCAGGGAAGAGAAAATCCAAAAACTGTTTTGTAAGTCCCGCCGAACCCTAACAAGTAGCCGTTGTCTGATTGGTTAAATCTGTTCGGCCGTCTTGCGTTTGATTGGACGGTCATAGGTTGCTCAAAGGTTACCTGACGCGACCTTCTACTAGGTTTTGTTAGACTCAGTATAGCAGTGTAACGAATAATAATGAGCCTAAGTTTACTTAGACTGGGTGGTAGAATAGTCTAGACGTGAAAGCGTTCGCTTGTCACGTCGAAGACCCAGGTTCGATTCCCCACGTAGGTACAATGTGTGAAGCCAATTTCTGGTGTCCCCCGCCTTGATATTGCTGGAATATTGCAAAAAGCGGCGTAAAACCATACTCACTCATTCATCTGTGTAAATATTTGACTAAAGGGCCCATGTGTGCCCACGCTCCTGTAACTATAAGAACATCATGAACCAGCTACTTCCTCCAACAGAGCAGTCAGAATAATTCTAGCTATCTGGCAACAGTCTGAACTAGCTAAATCAATGGTCATGTTGTTGGAGGAACATCCATGCAGTAGCCATTGCCTTCAGTTCAATTACCTTCATAAAAATCAAGGCTTTCAAGGTCAGTGTTCAGTGAGTTCCTACACAACCATAAGTCACACAATTTCCTGGTACACACTGTAGTACAATCATATAACTTCCTGATTGATCAGCTTCATTTTTCAAGGATTTCCTTATTTTAAAATGCAAATATGTTAAAGTGTGAGATATAAAATGAAATCAGATTTGGTAGACTAAGTTAATTTACTTGTTTTACACATGACCTTAAAGTCCGACCCATAACACACAATGTGAAACAGCAAATAGATTGTTGTGGATCGAAGAGTCATTGACTGAACCGGTTGAATTGTGTCATGACTAGTCTGTGACAAGGATTATTTATTCATCTACATCATTTTACAAAGTCCATGTACCAATGTAAAAAATACAAAAATTAAAACATTTTTTTTTTACCAACTTAGTAAACTAAACATCATGAACATAACAAACTAGCCAGTGCTATTGGCCTTCTAGTTTTATGAGAAATGCAATTACAGCTCAAACAATCAAATACCTGACCATCAACCACTGTTCAAAGTGTTGTTCAATACTCTGTATATTTCACTTCTGAGATTCTTATCTTGCACGAAAGACTTCCTTCTGGCAAATAGAGTCTATCTTATCCCCTACTCTGTGACATACTGAATAATACTCTACCCTCCTACATTCTGACCATGTTGACGCTATAATACAGAAACAAATAATCCAGGCAGTTTGTCTTTAAGTAAATAATGCAAATTACCGCTGGTATATTCCACCATAATCAGAGTGGTCCAAGTCAGCTCGTGCAGGCTGTAAAGCTAATGATTAGACTCGGTACAGTGGCTTGTTACCTACTCAGCTTCATTGTAGGTAATACAGGCAACTGCAGCCTCCAAACCATGTGTTTCATATCACAATTAATTAGGCAGAGTATTATTACATTAAATTGTGAGTAGAACAAATTGGAAGACAAATTACTGCTTGAAGTAACAGTTTCCAGATTTTTGTCTTCCATGTGCAGACAAGGTAGAGTGATGATATGCCTAGCTAGTATTCTACATATTTACATTTTGTCAATACATTTATTAGCAATAACTAGCTGAAAGCTCATAGAATTCTGAATTTGTAACTTAGCTATGACAGATTTACCATTCTTTCTAACGTTTATAACACCCCTTCAGCTTAACAAGTAACAGCTATTTGCAGTATGTTAAATCCCAAATGCACATCATTGTAACTCATATTGTATCATATTAATCTACTTATGAAACTGAGGTAAATACTGGCCACTTCCCTGTTCACTAACAGTAACATGCAGAAAGATGACGGATTTGTCAACCATGTCAAGTGGGAACAACAGGTTTGATTAGATTTCCTCATTTTATAATAATTCACTGGGGAAGGAGGGTCTGTGTATTGCCAGCAAACATGGGAAATGAAACAGAGACAGACATCGTATATCGATCAAACAACTTAAATGTTTTAACAACATATTGTACACTGGCATCTGTTCAGTGGACCAATCAAGTCAAGACTGGACCAGCCTGGCTGACAAACATATTGTGAACATGATGAAGGAGACTCAATATTAGAATATTATCAACCCCACTTTAATCAATAACGGGATTCATCATAACAGTCACATTTCACTTAATTCTTTTCCTACCACTGACTTCCTACAATTAACAATTTCTGAATCTTCGATCGAGTCCAATTAGCCAACTTTGATCATGACCTGCACCAGGGGTTTACAGGACGCATCCTATACACATAAAAATTGACAATGGACGCAACAAAATTGATTAGCAATTATACAGGGACGCAGTAAAAGTCCAAATACTTTAGTAAAAATTCCAATCAAGTAACAGTAAGTTATCACTGAGTTTGTTACAAGCTGAGTTATGGTATCATTTGCAATTTCATTATTGTAACAATGAAAATGTTGATCATGATACACAATATAATAATTTTAAGCTTGAGTCCCAGGGACCCTCAAATACAGGTAAATCCCTGCCTACACCATATGTCTATAATTGTCACCTGACATGGAGTTCATGCCATAAACTGACAAGCAATGTCTGCATTATTGTAGACCTTCACAATCCCAGTCACCTGTATCCATACAAAAGAAACACTCCTCCATATGCTATAGGACTACTTTATCTCACTGCTTGGTTTAGCTGCTATTACTAAGATGTGCACTTCCGGAGTACATACTTGACCCGAATACAGCTGAAACAAGGGACCCTCTGTCTGCTAGCTTCACTGACTTCATTGTTTTGACCATCAAATCTTTACGTTCATTCTGGGTTTGACAAAGGAGGACACCATGCCCCACTTAACCCCCAAAATGTAGGCCATTCACAATATGAGACCAAGCTTCATCCTTACTGCAACAAGGGATGACTAGTGGACCTGCTCTCAATGATACAGCAAGGAATGCTGACTATTAAATCTTCTCTCACACTGACAGCAGGGCAGCTTGTCTAATTAAACCTACTCTCTAATCTACTGCAAAGAAACTTGACTATCCTCAGTTTTAGTCTCTTTAACTTACATACCAATTACCAAATATGTTAATAACACAGTTAATAGGAAACTGGTATGTCACAGATTCCCACAAGGGACAAACACATACAGATGTCAGCTAAATATCTGCCAGCATGTAATAAACTGAACTAGGGTTGGCTAAATTCATTGATAATTTGATATATCATCTATGGGGAAAATTATGAATGATTATCGACATGAAACTGGAGTAATATGGCACATAAACTATTCTGATGGAAGAAAAGTGTTTATTTACTCCGACAATACACCAACATAGGTTGTTATTTATATGCTGCTTCCAAATCATGTTGAGGATGGTGACATGTCAGTAATCCAAACCTAAACATGTCATCATTCATCAGTGTTGTGAAATAGATTGATTTATTTCAGATTGTATTTTTGTCATTGTTGCTCAAAACTACTTTGGTATTTATTGATACTTGATAAAAACTAAGTTAACAACCATCGATATCTATGATCTATAGTGACAGCCAGCCTAAAACTTATACAGTAATTCAACATTTAGATTGTCCATTGATGGAAATATGAACTGTAATGTAAATGTTTTATAAACCCATTGCACTTAAACAATGAAAATGAAGATTGAGTGAGTTAAAATATTACATCCCTTCAGCAACATTTCAGCCTTATCATGATGACAATGATTTATATATAAATATAGATAATACATATAAATTGTCTTAAATTCTGTTTTCAAAGACTGACTGACTGACTGAGTTTGGTTTTACACCACTTTTAGCAATATTCCAGCAACATCACGGTGGGGGACACCAGAAATGGGCTTCATACATTGTGCCCATGTGGGGATTCGAACCCGGGTCTTCGGCGTGACGAGCCAAAGCTTTAACCATTAGGCTACCCCACCGCCCCTGTTTTCAAAGAGCCGTGAAATAACTAGATTATCACAGATTGGTAAAAACCAGCACAAGGACAATTAAAAGAATAAACTATGACTTAACGATAAATTGGGCCAGAAATCACTAGCAGAGGAAAAGAAAGATCCTTGTAGAACTGATGTTATTGAGCAATGTATAAAAACAGTGAAATTGTCCAAAACTTATGTTTAACATTGTCAACATGGTCAAGCAAATTTTCTGATTATTCACATAAAACTTAGTAAAGGTACAGTTGGTCCGTGCCAAATATTTTGGCATTCCTATTTGTGAAATCGGTTTGGTTAAGCTTAAAAAGACATGCTGAAGATGTTAAACGGAGACTTAATGAGTCTCATTATACTTTGTTCTATCAAGATCACTCAGCTGAGCATAGGTAACAGCTCTGCTAGTCTGAGATTACAGAAACGTGCAGAGGACGTGACAAAAATTAAATTCAAAGACTGATCAATAATACTGACTAAAGTTACCCATATTTGTTTCTGATATAATCAACTTTACTGTTCATTACTGTTCATCATCACCTCATTAGCGATGACTAACCAATACTCTGAGTGTCTTCTGTGAACTATTTCTATCAATGTCTACCAGCTACCAGCATTCATCAGCAGGACCAGCATTTAGTAATTACTGACATGGTCATTAATACAATACATCAGGATATATATGATATACTGTTATTATCACGGAACATTTCAAAATCTTCTGTTTATAAAGAATATATTCCCATGACAAGAGGACTGGGCAATACATTAAAACCACATTAATACACATGTTCACTTGGTGTTCACAGATCGAGCAGAGGTGAAGAGATATAGTTAAAACTTGTCATATGTCTCCAGGTGCCTTGCTAAGAAGCTCACATTTACCAAATACCAGATTGTGTTCTATCTGTGGCACATACACTATTTCTTTTTCAGTACAGGATGGCCAAATCCCTAACACACTTGCGATAAATTCATGATATTTTACTGATAGCGCTATTTGCAAAGTTAATTGAAATAATTTTTCTCAGTCCACAGGGAACATCTTCAAAGAGCAATATAGGGAAGTCTCATACAAATTGTTGAATAAATAAACTAATATAATACACAGAATAACCAAAAACATTTCTAAAACTTCACTGAACTTACAAATCAGTCATTTTTTCAATATTTTAGTGTGGTCATGTAAAGGTAAGTGAAATGACATTTCATAACTTGTTGCATAGGTTGCTCTGTTTGGGCACAAAGTTCATTTTGATTAAATCTACATATATCAAGAGATAAATTTCCTCCAATCTGCATATTTTTCACATTTATTTAGAGCAGTGTAGCATTGATGTCAACAACCAGAACAATGACAACTGGGGGCATAAACAGTCCTTCTCTGATTCATAATCATGTCTCATTAAACCATTAGGGCTGAAAACAGACATGACACAAGACTAGACAGAGTGGTAAACAATGATTCCAGTCTTCATAATCCATAAAACCTCCATCACGTCCTGCATACTCTCATGTGGACTTTATTCAATCTTAAACAGTCTTAGAGGATTCTTCTTGACCTACTTCTTCATTCTAAAACATTATATATAAAATTTCCCTTTGACCAACTTGTTAATTCTGAAACATTTCAGAGAAATATTCCCTTCAAGAAACTTCTTAATTCTGAAACATTTCAGAGAAGGGTTCCTCTACCATGCCTACACTGTGGTACACACATTATTTCATTCTGAAATTATTTGGAAAAAGATTCCCCTTGTATGACTTGTTCATTATGAAACGGGACGTGGGGTAGCCTAGTGGTTAAAGTGTCCGCTTGTCACGCCAGATGATCCAGGTTCGATTCCCAACATGGGTACAATGTGTGAAGTCCATTTCTGGTGTCCCCTGTCGCGATATTGCTGGAATATTGCTAAAAGCGGCATAAAACCATACTCAGTAGAAAGGAAAGTATATAAGGATGGGAAATGTTCACACTGTTTGGGTATGTTTTCTATCAATCATTCAATGGTTTTTCACGATAGGATACACGATTCATTTGTTTCATTAATGATCCACATTTTGAAATATATTGATTATTATTTTGATGTTGCACCAATGTCTCATATAAAAATGTTTACTAAAGCCTGTTTATAAACTATCTGGCCCAATGAAGAATACTAGACTACCCTACTCTTTCCTGGTTTACTTTTTGCCTAAGATAATACATTGCGCCAAATGTGATTGAAAAATGCAAGTACATGCTAGTGACCATAGCCAATCACAAACATCAAAATGCACATCCAGATCTTGATACCAAAAGCAGCATCATTAGAATCTGTTGAAGGCAAGTTTGCAAACCCACCAGGGAAATCTAAGCCTCCTGTTTGGTAATATTTTAAGTTTCCACTTATATTGATACTGGGGTGTGCAACGTTTGTTGTAAAAACATCTTGTGTGATATGGAAGTGACATTTAAACTAAAATCTAAAATTGTGGCAAGCCATTTCAACTTGTTGTTTAGATAACTGTAAGCTATCTACATTGACGCTAACAACAATTTTTTGTACTGTTACATTCTTGAGAGAATGAACAAGTTTAAGTTACGCTTTTACTTTACTTTGGTTATTAGTAAAATGTTTCTCTAAGAGTTCATTCAGAGTTCATTCACATAGCATTCTGCAATCTGCAAGGTACAGTGAATTATTAACTGTTTAAGTTGTTACATTTCACTTAATATTTACTGGGGTGGAAACCGAAGAAGGTTTATTTCTTGTTTTGTCAAACACAAACAGGACAGATTATGAAACAGTGAGCTTATCACTTTTATCTCTCGTAATTTTCTTATACAGAACAACAAAAATGAGGAGTGTGGTTGATGGGTACTTGGTTAATGTTTTTTTGTCTCTGATAATCTCTAACTATAAAAGACATGACTTAGATTAACTGGGGACTGGTGAGTTATGGTATCAACTTGCCATCCAGGTAATAGAAATGCAGTATTGCGATAAGTATCGTATCATGACCTCAGTATTGAGATACGTATTGTATTGTATCGTTAGGCACCTGTATCATGACATCCCTTGTCCCAAGTCTTAAATATTGCCAACTTGGATTTTGCTTTCCCTAAACCTGATATAAACATGGGACATTTATGGCATAGGATCATTTTAGTCTAACTCACGACAAAACCCTCCCAAAACAAGCATTGATAATCATGATAATGACATGGCACAAATAACATTCCCATGTGAACAGCAAATTTTGTAATCAACACAATTAATTAATCTCTGTCAAAAGCAGTGACTGCTGACATCAGGAAAGGAAAGATAAAAATGGATGTCTTTCCCATACCCTTTGAGAACCTTGCTATCAGAAACACTGTCAATATTTTTCAAATATAAAGACTTTGATTTTTTATGTTTGTGCCAGACAAGACCTTATCAATCTTGTCAGACTGTCATCAGACTTCACTTGCCATGCTTTCTGAAGACAATGACATTCCTTGGTATGCATACTAATTCAATAATGATGCATAATAACCATTAATACTTGTAATAGAAAGAGTCCCATCTATGTCAAGCATGGAGATAACAACTTACCAGCAAACCATCTACATTGATCTCTGAATTAGGATTCCTCATCTTTTCTTCAAGGCTGGCGAGCCGCCGTTTGTAATCGGTATCTGACATCACCATCTTGGGATCTTTACAATTCTGATCCTACTTGAGATTAAAATTAAATTTCAACAGGTGCAGGTATATTCAGTTGAGGGACGGTAATCACTTGAGTTGGGATTAACTGTCAACTCTGTCAACAACAAACCGCCCCCAAATCACCGACACTTTCGTACCGTGTCTCATTTACACATTTCAATTATGATGATGTAATCAATTCCAATTAACCAAATGCCATATTTCGCCATTTAACAACACATTTTGGCAGCAATGCCAGGGCTGTAAGAAGTTCCACCATTTGACATTAATCGCAGCTCATCACATTTGGCGCTTGACTTGCGATGTGAAATTCCTGTCCTGCAACTAGAAACCCGGTCGCTTCAGTCGAAGATGCAATCACATTATTAACACTTATCCGTGAATTCCAGTGTGCGTATATCAGTCACCTCTTCTGTGTAAACAATAAAGGAAAATCTAAACACGATGGAGATATTAAACGTGACAATTCCGGTACTCCTTTCCTGTTTCAAGTTAGTTAGATCATGGCTGCCATGGTTGAAATGTACATAGCCTCGACACACATTTTAAGGAAAACATTTACAAAACGACTAAGATAAAAACAATGCAGTAAAACTAAATTTCTTTTGCAGAATAATTACAATTCTTGTTTTTAAAATACTTGACATGATATCTTTGAAGTGTAAAGGTAACAAATCTTGATTTTACAATATCGATAATCATTAGGTTTTATATAGTTGTAGAGAAAGTAGCATATTACCCGACTCCGTGTGGTACGCGCTCTCAACCGCAGTCAGAAGCTCAGCAGGTGCGCGTTTTGAGTGCTGATATCATGTGCCTATCATATTCTATTTTTGGCATTTCCCACATATCAGTTGAAAACAAGTGTATATACTTGGAATTAATTGAACAAGATTGGTGGTTTACAGTTACGGTCAACATCGCTAAAGAAGAAAAATGTCATTCATCGTTTTTCGTGTGACATATCAGCTGTTGCGATACTAACTGTAAATGGCTGGAAATGAATGCAGATTCGACGGGGCGAATTCACATGGTTAATTATGTGAACAACAGTATGTTCATTTCACAACATGCTGTTAGTAAATTCGTTACCGTTTTAAAACCAGCTTGGCTGTGACAGACACTAAACTTCATGAAATAATAATCGGAAGTTTGACTCATACTTGGATTGCAAAATGAAAAGCAGTTACCATTTACACCTCACTTGGGTTGAAAGAAGCGGGCATAATTTGAATACAATGCTTTTGTAACACCGACAATTTCAGTCTTTTTGTTTAAAAAAACTTCTCATCGAAAACATGTAAAATGTTCACTGATCTCAACAATACTGATCGTGGAACCACATGGTTTTTATATTACAAATAAAATTCATTAATTCATTAATTCCGATATTTCTTATAAATATTACTTTTGGAAACTTCATGAATCTATATACCGGTATGCATATTTTTATACATATTTCCCATAATGTTGGTATATTCTGCATATATGTTGGTGGTTGTCGTGTGGATCTGCATCGTAAAAATACCGAAATTCCTATATTGCGACAAGTTGAATAAAAAAACGTAATGTTTATGAACAACCTCTTGGCGAGAGGTAAACCGCCTTACATAAATGTATTACGAACTCAGAATTGTAATTTCAAATGAACGTGTTTCGACTTAGAAATTAATATAATAACAAGCATGGTACACATGATAACAGGAAAATTAACATGAATTCCACCCTGACATATTTTGCTCCATAATCACTCGAACCTCGTTGGTTAATAAATGCATTTATTATATTCTTAAGGGTGAAATACTGTAAATATCGGTGAAAATAAAAATGGTATTTTCACTGAGTAGAATATCACTTTTGCCTGAAACTACTACTAATAAAATAATAATAAAATGCGTAATAAAATACAGACTTACTCGATGTCTCGATCATTTATAAACAATGATCAAAATATAATAAATAGAATATTTTGTTAATGTTGTCAAATAACATGTATATGTCATCGAGTGGTCTGACAAAGTTGATATGTTCACGAGTGGCGCATGTATATTTCATCGAGTGGTCTGACAAAGTTGATATGTTCACGAGTGGCGCATGTATATTTCATCGAGTGGTCTGACAAAGTTGATATGTCAGACCACTCGATGAATTATACATGTTATTTGACAACTTATCAAAATATCCTCTATACAACGCCTGTGTGAGATGAGCAGGATTTTGATTATGAAAAACTGCTTCCTTGCGTTGAGTGTCAGGCCGGAACTAACATTTATTGGGTAATAGTACAAAACGGATACATATAGAAGAGTGAGTGAGTTCCAGCAATATCACGGCGGGGGACACCAGAAATGGGCTTCACACATTGTACCCATATATAGAAGAGAGTCGAATTAACAGACGTTACAAACTGATTATTTACAGGCCCGATGCGTCCGCTGGAAACTTCGACAACGTCGTTACAAGTTATATTTAGTTTTTGAAGGAGTTTAGAAATGATGAACACGAGTTTTTGTGGATATCCACGTGTTGGTATGATTGACACGATGTTTTGGAGTTAATTCGTACTCCTTCAGGTGAATGATGCAGACTGTACAAAGACATATAAACTCTTGGCTAATGTTTATAACAAGATCACAATGGATAATTAACAATGGATAATTAAACTATACGGACGGGATATTTAACAAAGTGAGGTGGTTACTGAGAAGCCATGGTCATTGAAAGTCACGGGGTGTTGTTCGACAGATGATAGTGAGCAACCAAGGGATGTAGTTTACTAAAACAACAGTTTACTATGAACACAAGTAAATCACAACAATCAGTCGCAAGCACTTGGCAAATGAATGTCCTGGTCACTGTAAATGGCTGACTCGTGTTTTGACGCCAGCTGTTCTAGTTGCAGATTAGGAGTTTGGACTTGATGTTGTGATACACTGATTTTCTTTAGAGAAATGAAGAAAATGATTTAAAATACTTTTACCTGAAATATCTGAAGGTAATACGTCATATTTTCAAAACAATAATATGAATCAAAGAATACGATTCAGGCACCAATTTACACTCGAACTATGAGTTCGAGTTACCGATTTCAAGAATTCTGAAACTGGCAAGTACGAATTTGATACCAAATCTTAGCTCAGCCACTCTGGTTAAACCATTTCTTTAAATCTTCATACATGATAAGAAATTGGTTTAAGTGCGGTATACATTATGTCAGCGATATTTGTAATGAAAATGGATTTCTCAGTTTTGAAAATGTAAAACAGAGGTACAAAATAAGCGGAACCTTCCTAGACTATCATCATTTGTTAAATAACATTCCAATGAACTGGAGACAACTTGTAGGAAACAGAACTCTCTGCTTAAATCAATTAAACATTAATAGAGTTTACCTAGATATGATCTCAAATATTAAAGGTTCAAGGATATTCTATGATAAATTGATTAAGAACAACAATACCCCTAAAGTACTAGAGTATTGGAAAACTGTCTTTCAGCAGGATATAATGTGGAGTAATGTATTCAGATATTACAGGAAATGCACAAAATGATTGTAAGCTGTTAGATTTTCAGTACAGATTTATTTACAGAATAATCTATACAAAGAAAGAACTATTGAAGATGAAGCTAGTTGATAATGATACTTGTACTTTTGTAAAAAATACCTCAGAAGACATATTGCATGTATTTTTTACTGTGATTTAGTTAAAAACTTTTGGCGAAAAGTAGAACAATTTCTAAATGCCCACCTCCAGTGTGATGTCACATTTACAAAATTCACTATCATGTTTGGAATGTTCTCAAACAATAAAATACTAAACCATATTATACTTCTTGCCAAAAGATTCATTTATGTTTCAAGTATAAAACAACAAACACTTTCCCTTTGAGGGATTTCGTAAGTTATTAAAAGATATATATACAACTGAAAAATATATAGCTAGGAAAAACAATAGCTTAGATCCCTTTATAAGGAAATGGAAACATTTAGATACCTTACTATGTGCTAAACATTAAATTCTACTTATAATATCAGCTGAGACCTCCAGACCCTACTCACTACAGCCATACTATTCAACCTTACCCCTCCAATTTCATATTCCCTCCACAGAAACTTTAATGACATCTTATGTATCTATATAATTGTTGTAATCTCATGATGTTATATTTATATATGTGTATACATGCGTGTATGTATGTGCATATGTATGTATATGTATATATGTATGTGTGCGCGTGTGTGTATATGTTTGCAATACTGTCTTTTATGTCATATAGAACCTTGCAAAACATCACTAAAGCTATATACATATATATTTGGTTGTTGTCCTCTTTGCCATATGTATTTTGTGTGAGACTTCAAATCGAATAAAAAATTTTTTTTTAAAAAAGTACGAATTTGATTAAAATCCTAAACTTTCTTTCAATGATGAACTTGACTCACGCTTAGTCTCTGAATATAAAATTTGATAGTAAAAATAATCCAATTTAAATTAAAAAGGAGCCCCATTGAGATAATAGATTCAGAACCTGATGAAATCTAGACTTGCTTCATCTAGAGCTTTTAGCGTTTCAGGGAGGGCAAGGCAGTAGGGAAAATAATGCAAATCATGGACTGTGAGACAGACTAATGAAGAACCGTCATCCCATATTATGTGAACTCCTGACAAGGCGAAGTAAGTTTGAGATGGAGCTGTGAGCTACATCTTGTCTCATGTTTGACCAGTCTAATTAAACTTAGGCTCAGTATTATTCGTTACACTGCTATACTGAGTCTAATACCCCCTTCACACTTGAGGAGGAATGAGCCGGGATGCCGTCGGAATGAAAATTCCTGGATATTCCTGGAAATTCGAACTTCATTCTAAAACTTCTTTCTCCATTACGAATGCACTCCAACTATTCATGTCAATTCTTGTAACATGCCCAAATGTTTTGAACATGTTCAAAACCTTCGAGGTACATTCGAAGTGGAAATATATCGAACAACATTTGAAGTACATTCTAACTGCATTCTAAATATTCTTACTGCATTCTAACTGCATTCTAAGTATTCCGAACGTATTCGAGGGAGAATCGAAAAGGCAAGCCACTTCAAATCCTGCAAGAATGTCCCGAATGCACCTCGAATGTATTTGGATAGCTGGTGGAATTTAGGTGGAATATTCTTCAAACGTATCGGAATATTTCGATTGCACTTGGAATACAGCTCGAATGTACATCGAATACACCTCGAATACAGTCAGAACATCCCGAATGCTCTTCAAATGAGCCCTGGCGTCATCAGAATAACGCCGAATCGCATAAAAACGTAGCCACCTGTCACTGAAACTTCAGATACCATTCACATTTTCAAGTTGCGCAAGTTGTCTCCAGCCTCCTGGCACCACGTTGTGCTGCTCATCTTCCTCATCCACCATACCATTGTGGAGATTAGGATAACGAGTCCTCATCAAGTTGTGCAGGCAGACACAGTATTCAATGATGTCCTTCACAACGGAAGACCTTGGCAACATGGTGGTGAGGAGGATTTGCCAACTCTGGGCCATGATTCCAAATGCATTTTCCACTAGCCCACTACCATTTTCCACTCGGCCCCTGCTGATCCTGTAGTTGTAGATTCTCTCGTCTCTCTGGAGAGTCCTATGACCATACGGTTTCATCAAGAAGGACCTTATTCCAATGGCATCATCTCCGAGAATAACGCATGGCACACGCTAGTCATCTTGGGGTAAGGGGAACGGATCAGGAAATCCCATGCTCTCGCGTTTTCCTTGAGCTCGCACTCGTTGAAGATCTGAGCATCAGACATACTTCCGTAAGCACCAACGCCCAACCACAGGAACTTGTAATTTCCATCTAAGGGCCATGAGGACCACAGAGAAGTAGCCCTTGTAGTTGTGGTAAAATATGCCGCTCTTATGGCCACATGTTTGCTATCTAAAACTCCTACGACATGAGGAATATTCCCCCCTATTTCTCAATACATCTTCGATGGGTGCCCATTCTTCTGGAGTGGTAGGACAGATGATAACCTCATCATTGTATTCCTCCACAATGACCTTACATACTTCTGGGATGATCAGGCTGATTGTGTTCCTTGCCACGCGGAAGCTGTACATGATGCTATGGTACCTATCACCTGAAGCCAGGAACCTCAATCTGATGGCTAGCTTCAAGCCTGGAGGTAGCGCATTTCTCATAATATGTACCCTGCTTCTGTATTCTTGGTCCCACTTTCTGCACCAACTCATCAAAAATGACAGGCTCCATCCTAAGGTAATTGAAGAGTGACTTCGTGTCCTCAACTCTGAGCTCCTCCATTAATCTTGTATAATGTCCATACAGCCTCCTTCTTTCCTCTGTCAGCCATTGTCTGGTCTGGAATCTCCTGGGTCTTCTCCTGTTTGTTTCTTCTCCTGGTCTCCTCCACACCTCTTTCAATCAGGGTTCGCTGGAGGACATCAATCTGGAACAACGCAACATGGTCCAGGGCGTCCATACTCTATAGGAGTTGGGCAGTGACTGATGAATAGTCCAGATTCAACACGTTTTTATACCCCATCGTGGAACATTCCGGCAGCATTCTTGATGCATTTCGGACATTCGTGTTACAATCTAAGTGCATTTGAGGGACATTTGAAATATTCGTGCTGCATTCTGTTTTAATTCTTTAACATTCGATCCATATCATTCCAAGGGGGTCATTCCAAGACTGTTCTGAATGCATTCTAAGTAAATCCGTTCAGCATTCGAGGTACGTTCCAACTGAAATCCGAGTGCTATTCGCGCAGCAATCGAACCGGACTAGTACGGCAGTCGAAATTCATTTTAAGTTTTCTTAGTGTATCCTAACGGCATTCTAATTATTCCTATTGTATTCCGATTCATTCGAGCTGCATTCATGATCTAGTACATTTGGAATGAGTAAGAATCATTCGAGGCGGGTTCGAAGTGCGTTCTAAGTATTCCAACAGCATTCTTACAAAGCTTGAAAAAATTGTTTATTTTGACATTCTCTCCCGAATGCGGTTCGAATTTTGGAAATATTTTTTTTCTGTCTGATTCTCCTTGATTCCTGTCAATTCGAAATAGGTGTGAAAACCTACTAGAAGGTCGCGTCAGGTACCCTTTGAGCGACCTATGACCGTCCAATCAAACGCAAGACGGCCGAACGGATTTAACCAATCAGACAACAACTACTTGTTAGGGTTCGGCGGGACTTACAAAACGGTTTTTGGATTTTCTCTTCCCTGATCGCTGACACTGATCTATCAATAAACGAAAATCCGCATAAAACAGAGATATTTGACCTGCAGTATATACGCTTATGGGTTTCTAATGACATGGTTACTATTTGCTTATATTTTCGCAAGATGACATCCTTGAATATTGACAAAGACGCTATTTTCAGCGACTGTTTACTCATTGCGTGTATCACTCGGAAGCGATCGTGCGGAAAATAGCGTTCGGAATCGTTCGAGTTTTTGAGGTAAAGGTTCAAACGGTATGAGCGAATGTTAACTTTCACGATTTGGTAAGCTGTGTTCTGATTGGTCAGTCCAAAAGGTTAGCTGACGCAACCTTCTACTAGGTTTTTTCAAAAGGTTAGACTCAGTATATAGCAGTGTAACGAATAATACTGAGCCTAAGTTTACTTACACTGCATGTTTGACGTATTTATGAAATGCTATTTGGGCTAAATATAGCGAATTAATTATATTCATCTGAAAGACTACAGTCATCACATAAGTATTCGTCACTGTGCATTATTTCCATAGACATACATGTTAATTTGATGCAGCTAGCAAAAATGTCTTCAATTTATTTTTCGTTTGAACTGGTTCATATTTTGCGCATGTGTCATGAATCATCTCAACTGCAAAGACATAATTTCCGTTTTATTTTCCATTCAGTATTTCAAGAATGACCACAGGACCACAAGAGGGACAGCTCAGCCCAACTGCGCTACTAGGTGAGTGAGTGAGTTTGGTTTTACGCCGTTTTTAGCAATATTCCAGCAATATCACGGCGGGGGACACCACAAATAGGCTTCACACATTGTGCCCATGTGGGGAATCGAACCCGGGTCTTCGGCGTGACGAGCGAACGCTTTAACCACTAGGCTACCCCACCGCCCCAACTGCGCTACTGACAATGTGTTCCAGAGTGTATGCCCCAAGTGTGTTTGAATGAACAGTGTGTAAATTATGAAGTTGTGTGAATTATGAACGAATGAAGTTGTGTATATTATGAAATTATGAAGTTGTGTGTGAATTATGAATGAATGAACTTGTGTAAAATATGAACGAATGAAGTTGTGTAAATTAGGAACGAATGAACTTTTGTAAATTACCATTATATTATTTTTGTTAATTATGTGAACTTGTGTTGATTAAATATGTGTATTGCCATTACATGAAAACTTGGCTACATGCTTTATTAATGTTATGCTGATATTATGCTATATGTGTCAATAAATAATGTAAAACCTTTCTAAACTTTTTTTCTGTTCGGCCCTTATGACTAGGAATAAGGCCCTTTTGACTTTTTGTCACGGCCCTTTTGACTTTCACCTCGGCCCTGTTTGCTTTTTCCATCGGCCCTTTTGACTTGGCACCTCTCGGCCCTTTTGTCCTTCGGCCCTTTTGACTAGTTCCCGAAAGAATACACAATTTTGTAGTTATGTTGCTCATGTAACTACAATGCGGAAAATACTTGAAGGAACATTACATGGAAATTATGTATCTGTGACCAAGATGATTTCCTAACAACCTGCAAATAACGAAAACCGAATTAATGAAACTTATTAAATGAAACTTATTACAGCTACACTAAAATAACATGCAAGTCTATGAGAATTTTGCCGACTGACGAATACTTATGTCCCATGACTGTATATACACTTTCGTTATCTTTCATTTGCCGTAAATAATACAAGGATAACAATATTTTATGCTGTTAACAAACAAATTGATTTGCAAGTCTTCAAGGACACAGTTGTCGCTGACGCCCGATTCAAGTCTGTCAGTGTTGCTTGTAATCAGTTTCGTTTAGGAAACTGATGATTCACGAGAATCGGTTGATTTTCTACTATTCGAATGATTTCTGCGACTTAAACGATACCATACTTGGTTAATAACTTCTCTCTAATTGTTCATGACTTATAGTTGCATCAGTTTTGTTTGTTTAAAACACGAAATTCTGGGTCAGAATGAATTACAAGAACAATAGTGTTGCCCAATCAGAATGGTTTGTCTTGTGTAAGGATGGCAAGTATTGATAACAAGAGGGGTAGCTATTATATAACCAGAATTACCAGAAAACAGCACTGGTTCTTGCGACTTGAGTAGAGCTTTCCAGGGCTGTTATTAGTGTATTTCTCTTTGGAAAAGCTCAAACGACGAGCATGTCAGTGAATATCTCGTCTTCTGAAACGTAGGAGACTCATATATACAATTTTGTAGTTGTAAGTTGGGGTATTATAAAATACATAAATTGCTAATATAAATGTTCATATAGTCTGTTTAACCCACTGTAACATATATAACCTCCTTTGCTACTACACAAAGATCGGCGTGTCTCAACAACGCCCCAGGATGTAATATGGTATGACACCAGTCGTTAAAACAGATCAGAATATTCTCGATTGCTTGATGGGTAAAAATTGGAGCATGATGAATACGAAATAATTTTGAAAAATGATATAAATGTCGAACTAATGCTACGTTTTGATTACGTTTAAGGAGCTGATTTGTGAATGGGGATTAATTGTATGGCATTTTTTATTGCTCATTAATGAGCTGCAAAGCAAGAGGTTAGAAAAAGCGCCCCTAAAATCTCCACAGCGTTTCTTGTTTTATTCAAGGGAAATAACTCTAAAGTAAGTCTTAGCACTCATATGATTGGTCAGCACAATGTGCAAGTTCCCGCCATCTTCTGAGTGAACATCTTGTTGTTTTGCATTCGCTGGAACATTGGAGTCCTACTCAAAAGACAAAAAATGTGGCAGAATCAAGGAGGAGGTAAATGGCAGCCTTAGAAAACACAAATAGAGTATTTCGTCCTTGATGGAAAACGTTCTCTCATTCCATACATGTGCCTTGGAAGAAAAGAGAAATTAATGACCAAATACTGAAATAGACGTCATATTTTACAATATTCGAACCCGAAGCTAATAAATGACAGTAGGTGGACATGGATTATCTCAGCACAACACCTAGTAGTAAAGATATCATTCGACAAAAAAATCGAACGTACTGAAAAATGTTAAACCGTTTTAGCTGAGAGACTTGATAAATTTGCAAGGTCTGACAAATTGTACTGGGTGATTTATTCTCTTCATAGATATGTAATACTCCGATGTTCACTATTTTATGATCAGTGTATCATTCTTTCCTTTGAAGCTAGGGAATAAAAAGAAATCTTTTTCTGTGGACAATATGAATATGGATTTCTTTGGAGCAAACCAAAAGTATATGTGTATAAATAATCATGGTCAAATAGTGGTTGGTATGTATGGTTGAACTGACCATATGCAATACCAAAAAAACCTTCCCAATGTAACATCGGCTATTAAAATGTAAGTGTTTTAAAGTAGCATGTGATAAAATGTCACTGTCCTATTTGGTATTGAGAACAATCCAAAGTGGCCGTCAGGTAATCAGTATTGATTTCATTTAGCTAAAGCAGAAACTGAAAGTTAAGTAAAAATGTCACACGTTATAGTAAGATAACAATGATTAACATGATGTTAGTTAACTCTATTTTTCTCACAGTGCAGGAAATCCTTGGCAACGTGAAACTAAGTGTTTAAACATAAAAGACACACAATAAAAACTGTTCTTACTGTGTATGGAGAATATAGATTGTATCATTGTTTTCTATTCTAGTTTTTTTCAACATGTAAAATATTATATAGCTCATTGTTACGGTCATCTTCAGCTTTGAGAGCATGTCAAGTAATTGATTGGGAAAATTTCTTTATTGCTGCAAATTTCTTCATACCAAGTTCAAGGTGCCCACTGGAACTTATAATGTATGTGATGCATGTTTTCACAATGAGTTTAGCTGTGCCCCCCAGTCAGAGTCGGCATGTAGTCCGGAGTAGAAGCTAATTTCTCTTGCTAACATGGTTTAAAGTGAGAAACATTTCACAGTAAGTGTGTTTGCCTGTGGACCTGTGAAAAGAAAAAACATGCAGTTTTCACCTCCCACTTATTGCAAGTGTTGCTTGGGGCAAGAGCAGTTTTCGGTCAGTGCTGTTTTGTTGAGATGACAGCTTTACTATACAAAGTAAATACCCACTGTGAACATTGACCATCTACCAATGTTTACTGTGCTTGTGCTTTTCACTGTTGTATCCCATAGGGAACCAGTGTATTTACATCTGACCATATGTTAGGTTCAGTAAACAAAACATTGCTCTCAAATGTTCAGGTGGAAAAAGTTGAGTTTTTCCTAAGAAAGATCATTCCTGCCACTATTTTTTTGGCGGACAGGATTAGGTAACCCATAAGAGGATGAAACGGTCAGAAGTGTTACTGTTTCCTGAGTTTTGTAGGTGTGTCTCTCTATTCATCTCATGTATATATTGTTTCAGGCTTCAACCAAAGTGGCTATGGAGACCAGGGTGGGGGGTACATGTCCCCAGGGGGATTTGGCACCCCCCAGCAGTCACAGGAGAGAAAGGTGAATTCTTAGGAAGGTGCTCTCAGAACATGCAAAGGAGTTTCTGTCCTGCCAATGTGTATATGAATTATATAAGATGGCAGAACAAGATCAAGTGTTTTCTACTATAGTGTCATAAAATTATGCCATTTCTGGTGTCCCCCAGTGTGATATTGCTGGAATATTGCTAAAAGTGGCATAAAACCCAACTACTCGCTCCCTCACTCGTAAAATTTTGCTCAAAGTGTACTGTTGTACTTTTAAATTCTGAATTTGCTTAGGTTTAAAATGTTTGATAGCATGGAGAGTTCTGGGGTATAATACTCTAAATATGTCCACTTGTATAATCAATGATTGAAACAATTCAACAATAGGTCTTTAGCATTTAATGCATGATTGGGTTGTGTCACTGGTGTTCTGATCCAGATGTAATTATTCATAAACCAAAGTGATATTACTTGAATATTGTGGATGTCCAGGTAATTACCCAATTTTGCAATTAACCTGTAAGGTAAGTATGACTGTCCGCAACCTGAAGCTGATATGAGTTGTTTTGTTTCCTGCTCAGAGTCGTACCCGCGCCCAGAATATCATGCCCAGCACCGTGGCCCAGGTCCTGAATGCCGACCAGACTGATGACAAGTTCTACCAGGGAGACGTGGAGCTGTCACAGGTGAGAGGGGCGAGCATTCACAGTAGTGGTAATAGCATACACAGCTTACTTAATAACTTAAATGAGTAGAAGGACATATAGTTCCTAGTACAAACATAAAACTGGATTGTCCCATGATGAAAAAACACTATTAGGAGAAACACTCTCGGAAACTGTTTGAAACAGGAGTTGGGTGGACAAATGTGTGTGGCTGAAGTTTGAACCTGAAAGGTACAGTTGATAACAAGACAGGTGAGGGTGAGTTACACTGAGATTCTGGATTTGTTTCAGGTAACGATTGTGGGTTTGGTGCGGACAGTGAAAGAGTCCCCAACACGTATTGATTATGAGATTGATGACATGACCGGGCCCACCCCTGGAAGTTAAACAGTTTGTAGACAATGATGTAAGTACTTTATGTTCATCTCACTGTAGCTGGTAGTGGATGTCACAATTCATTGATTCATCACAAACTCTGAATACTCTACTATGTAAATCACACTACAATATACACTCCACAATGATATACACTATCCATACTCTATCTACCCAGTCTAGATTCACATTATAACTATGTATGGATGTGATGTAATTATGAGCATTGGCTACATGTTTCAGTAAGCTGGCCTCATAAGAAGCCTAGCTAGTGTTATCTTTGTGCCTATCAGGACACACAATACAAGGTCTAACTGCACAAAACCATTATCAGGGACACACATATGTAATAAATCACCTGCAATATTCGAGGTGTGCCTTAAATTACTGATGCATCACAGACACTGCATAGTCAAATATGATAAACACTACACGTACCACGTATAGATTCACTGTGTGAATTATTTCCTGGCAATCAAAGAGTACGTTTTCCTGTAACCCTGGTTGGATAAGTACTCTGGCTAGCATTACCTTGCTGCCTGTCATGAAACAAAATACTGGAACTGATTGCTAAAAACTCTTGTTATGGGTCTACATGGAAGATGTGTGTGAAGTGGTTGTGTAAGTGTATGTAGAGCTATGACTCCCTTCTGTGTGTGAAGTGGTTGTGTAAGTGTATGTAGAGCTACGACTCCCTTCTGTGTGTGAAGTGGTTGTGTAAGTGTATGTAGAGCTATGACTCCCTTCTGTGTGTTGTGTAAGTGGTGTGTGTATGACTCCTCTCTGTGTGTGAAGTGGTTGTGTAGAGCTACTGACTCCCTTCTGTGTGTGAAGTGGTTGTGTAAGTGTATGTAGAGCTATAGAGCCCTTCTGTGTGTGTGAAGTGGTTGTGTAAGTGTATGTAGAGCTCTGAGCTATGACTGTAAGTGTATGTAGAGCTACGACTCTTCTGTGTGTGAAGTGGTTGTGTAAGTGTATGTAGAGCTGTGTGTGGTTGTGAAGTGGTTGTGTAAGTGTATGTAGAGCTATGTAGAGCTGACTCCTTCTGTGTGTGAAGTGGTTGTGTAAGTGTATGTAGAGTGACTCCTTCTGTGTGTGATGTGTGAGCTGTAGAGCTATGACTCCTCTGTGTGTGTGAAGTGGTTGTGTAAGTGTATGTAGAGCTATGACTCCCTTCTGTGTGTGAAGTGGTTGTGTAAGTGTATGTAGAGCTATGACTCCCTTCTGTGTGTGAAGTGGTTGTGTAAGTGTATGTAGAGCTGACTCCCTTCTGTGTGTGAAGTGGTTGTGTAAGTGGTGTGTAAGACTCCCTTCTGTGTGTGAAGTGGTTGTGTAAGTGTATGTAGAGCTACTGACTCCTTCTGTGTGTGAAGTGGTTGTGTAAGTGTATGTAGAGCTATGACTCCCCTTCTGTGTGTGAAGTGGTTGTGTAATGTGTATGTGTGAAGTGGTTGTGAGTAGAGCCTATGACTCCCTTCTGTGTGTGAAGTGGTTGTGTAAGTGTATGTAGAGCTATGACTCCCTTCTGTGTGTGAAGTGGTTGTGTAAGTGTATGTAGAGCTATGACTCCCTTCTGTGTGTGAAGTGGTTGTGTAAGTGTATGTAGAGCTATGACTCCCTTCTGTGTGTGAAGTGGTTGTGTAAGTGTATGTAGAGCTATGACTCCCTTCTGTGTGAAGTGGTTGTGTAAGTGTATGTAGAGCTATGACTCCCTTCTGTGTGTGAAGTGGTTGTGTAAGTGTATGTAGAGCTGAAGTGGTTGTGTAAGTGTATGTAGAGCTATGACTCCCTTCTGTGTGTGAAGTGGTTGTGTAAGTGTATGTAGAGCTATGACTCCCTTCTGTGTGTGAAGTGGTTGTGTAAGTGTATGTAGAGCTATGACTCCCTTCTGTGCTTAGTGGTTGTGTAAGTGTATGTAGAGCCATGACTCCTCTCTGTGTGTGAAGTGGTTGTGTAAGTGTATGTAGAGCTATGACTCCCTTCTGTGTGTGAAGTGGTTGTGTAAGTGTATGTAGAGCTATGACTCCCTTCTGTGTGTGAAGTGGTTGTGTAAGTGTATGTAGAGCTATGACTCCCTTCTGTGCTCATGCCCCCTCCACGCTGTTGCTAGGAGAACCTGCCGGAGGAGGAGCGGGTGCAGGCTATGCGGGAAAACACCTATGTCCGTATCTATGGACATCTGCGCTCCTTTGCTGGCAAGCGCAGTGTGGTTGCCTTCAAGATGACCCCTCTGACAGATATGAATGAGCTGAGTTGCCACATGCTGGAAGTCATCCACTCCAACATCACATTGTCCAGTGCTCAGGTCAGTAGTGCAGTAAATGTGTTTCACTTCCTTAAACTTAAAGGTAATAATAAACCCCTATTCTAATGTAGACTGCAGAGATTCAGGTTTGGCAAGTGACTGCTGGATAGTTTATGAGTCAATAATTAGACAGTGTGTAATTTAGAAAACGATTTTCTTCATTTGTACCAGAGTTGATAACGAAAAATGTTTTGGGCAAGATATTTGCAAATTGTATGTACAGTGTGGCCCATGTATTTTGCATCCAAATGGACATTGTGATGGGGATGACCGCAACTTCTTTATGTCACAATGGATGTTTGGAGATAGCACTGCAGCAGCATTAGCACACAACAACAGATAGAGGTGTTGTCCAGTGGAATGTGTATTGTCAGTAGTCCATGCGGTATGTTACAGAGTGCAGGAGGTGGTGGGATGGCGTCCAACAACACTGGTGCTGGCTTCAGTGACATGGGTGGCGGTGGTGGTGGCGGAAGCACCATTCCTGGTCTATCCCCACTACAATCACAGGTATGAGGTGTTCCTTTCTCTGTACCACCCAGTGTATTGTGTCCCCATGTAGTGAAGATATTTACCATGGACCTAGTTACTCATTCTGAATATTTCACTTATATTGTTGATTTGATTGTTGTCCCCCGCCGCAACGCGGAACGGGGGACTATGTATTCGTACGTCCCGATTCTTGTTAACACGATATCTCATGAACTGTTGTTCCCAATGTCTTCAAATTTGGTGACAGCCTATATTGGGAGATTATGCAGACACCAGTCGATTTGGGTGACCTTGACCTTATTTTCAAGGTCACCACGACACTTTGACCACTTTTCAAACTCTTGTTAACGCGATATCTCATGATATGTTGTACCCAATGTCTTGAAATTTGGTGACAGCCTACATTAGGGGATTGTAAAGACACCAGACGATTTGGATGACCTTGACCTTATTTTCAAGGTCACCACAACACATTGACCACTTTTCAAACTCTTGTTAGCGTGATATCTCATGAACTGTTGTACCCAATGTCTTGAAATTTGGTGACAGCCTACATTGGTGGGATTACACAGACACCAGTTTATTTAGGTGACCTTGACCTTATTTTCAATGTCACCACGACACTTTGACCACTTTTCAAACTCTTCTTAACACGGCATCTCATGAAATGTTGTACCCAATGTCTTCAAATTTGGTGACAGCATACATTGGGGGATTACGCAGACACCAGTTGATTTTGGGTGACCTTGACCTTATCTTCAAGGTCACCACGACACTCTTTTAACTCTTGTTAACGCGATATCTCATGGACTTGTACCCAATGTCTTCAAATTTGGTGACAGTTTACATTGGGGTATTACACAGACACCAGTTTATTTGGGTGACCTTGACCTTATCTTCAAGGTCACCACGATACTTTGACCGCTTTTTAAAGGCGATATTTCATAAAACATTGCACCCAATGTTTTCAAGTATGTTGACAGTCTACATTGGGTGATTATGCAGACACCGGTCATTTCAGGCATCTTGTATGTTACCCAAAAATAAAAAGTAGTGAATATAGATATTCCATTCTTTAGCGGCGGGGGACATTGCCACATCAGTGGCAAACACTTGTTTATAATATGATGGGTAGGTTTCGTGGCAAAATATGGCCGACAAACATTCAATAGCCATGCCATTCTCACTCTGCATTTGATTCTTTCCCTCACTAGATACAACTGATCATAAAGAACCACCCATCTGACACTGGGGCCAGCATCGACGCTGTGTGCAAACAACTCCGCTCTGTGCCCGAGCAGCAGATCAGGTCAGTGTTACAGATACCACACAATCTGTTTCTTGAACATCATGCTTGATATACAGCAATCGACGGTGTGGTTACAGCTTTTTACCAGAAGGATCTGTATCTTTGTCAGATTTGTTTGTGCCTCCCAGATTTATTCACAGATATTTAATTGTTACAATAAGATAGCTGGAAAATGTACTGTCTTGTGAACCTACTGACTGACTGACTGACTGACTGACTGACTGAGTTTAGTTTTACGCCGCTTTTAGCAATATTCCAGCAACATCACGGCAGGGGACACCAGAAATGGGCTTCACACATTGTACCCATGTGGGGATTCGAACCCGGGTCTTCGGCGTGACGAGCCAACGCTTTAACCACTAGGCTGCCCCACCTACTCACTCACTCTTTCCCCTTGATAACCTTGATAAGGACCCTTGGTAGACATTACCTGAAGGGTTTATAACTCTGTCAGGTGTCCATCTTGACCGTGCTTGTTATCCAAGACCAAATTTGGTCAAGTGCAAAATGATCTATTACTGACACTGAAGTACACGTTTGTGGAATATACATTCTTCCTGAATTGTGTATGAAATGGTAATTATCTTCTCAATTGAATATTGAACTCTGGGATATAGGAACCTTGACATGTTTCTGTGTACATTGTAAAGAAGTTGTGTAATGTTTGTTACAGAGAAGCGGTTGACTTCCTGAGTGGTGAGGGTCACATCTACTCCACAATAGACGAGGATCATTACAAGGCCACAGATGGCTGATGTCGTCATTCGGTGCTGGATCTCTACATCATATACGCAGACATTGCTAGAAGGTTTGCTGATTCCCCTCCGGGAAGTAGGGAGCAGGTGTTGGTGTGGACATCTACCTCGTCCAGTACAACACCAGTGTAATTATGTATATAAGCTGAACACATTAAATGTGAAAAATAACTGATCTTGTGTTTGCCTTGTTTGACAAATAATGTCCATTGTTTCAAGCCATTGTCATTCCAGAAGTGGAGAGGGAAGTGCACAGATAGACATGATAATAGCAAGGTGTGTGTGTTATAGAGTGGTGTGGGTTCGACAAATTGTTGTGTTAGACCCACGGTTTTACTGATCTTGGCAGCAAGAAAACAAAGCAGTTGAAACAGTCTTAACACCAGTAGTAGCAAATTTCATACGAGAGAGTTCCATGATAATTCCACAGTTGAGCTCTGATCATTGAGTTTAATACTCTTCAATTTTTTCCTTTTTAATACTATCTGTTGCATGATGAACTGAGGCAAAGGAATGGGTTTACAGAGAAGTGCACATTCTCTTCCCTCATGTATCAGTATTCTTAGTGCAGCCTGAAGATTCACTGACACTGCCTCCTGTACACATCTAATAGCTACAACACCTCGAGGGTTTTCTCTGACATTAAGCACACTCCCAGATATACCTAAAATTCTTGTCTAAACAGTGTTAAAACCAAACGCACAGGGATCAAACACTTCAGAGAGGTTGTTTCAAGTCTTTTCCAGATCATACACAGAATACCACTGATGTGACCATACTGGTTGTAAGCTTAGTCTCAGCTTGACAAATCCTACCAGATAGATACTGCCTGTTTGTTTGAACACACTCTATGAACGTCAGTTGACACCACTGGCATAGCAAGCGTGACCACCCAATCCTGTAAGTCTCCTCTTACGACAAGCATGTGTTGATGGAGACCAAGTGTAACCTGGATCTTCACAGGTCTTCACATATTGAGTGTACAGAACAATCCCATCAGAATTTCTGGTGTGCACACTGTACTAGTTTTCTGTTGTGGCACTGGTGGAACAGTCTTTCATGCTGCATTTCAATGTGCTTAGTTGTGTCCCTGGAGCAAGCAAGAAGCTTTGAGGTTTTCATCCTGACTGGCCCAAACATGTATTTGGGTTAGTTAGTCCCTTTGATGTGGTTGGTTGGTTGGTTTGTTGTTTAATGCCCCACTTAGCAATATTCCAGGTATGGTGGCGGTCTGTAAATAATTGAGTCCTGACCAGACAATCCAATGTTCAACAGCATGAGCATTGATTTACACAATTGGGATATGACTTGTGACAACCAAGTCAGCGAGCCAGTTCACCCGGCCCCGTTAGTCGCCTCTTGAGACAAGCATGGGTTGATGAAGACCAATTCTAACCCAGATCTTCACAGGTTTCTTTGACGTATAGGAGTGAGATGTGCATCACTTCTGGTGTTCTCCCATATCAAGATGATGCATCACTGGTGCACTGGTCAGGGTGTCACTGGGTTCCTGGACTGCAATGGGCAGTCAGCTGTCTTACGTGATAAACCGATTTTGTCAACACAACTCTTTGTGAATATTCCTGGTGGTCTTTTTGAGCTTTATGGACACCATATTGATATGGCAGATTAAAAGAATTCCTGCAGATTCATGTTACCATGGTATGGCAGATTAAAAGAATTCCTGCAGATTCATTTTACCATGGTATGGCAGATTAAAAGAAGTCCTGCAGATTCATTTTACCATGGTATGGCAGATTAAAAGAATTCCTGCAGATTCATGTTACCATGGTATGGCAGATTAAAAGAATTCCTGCAGATTCTTTTTACCATGGTATGGTGGATTGAAAGAATTCCTGCAGATTCATTTTACCATGGTATGGTGGATTAATAGAATTCCCTGCAGATTCATTTTACCATGGTATGGTGGATTGAAAGAATTCCTGCAGATTCATTTTACCATGGTATGGTGGATTAATAGAATTTCCTGCAGATTCATTTTACCATGGTATGGTAGATTGAGGATCTTCCTGGAGATGGGCAAAACTGGTAGGTTGAACTCCAGCATCATATCCAAGAACAGCAACACAAGAATGTTTATTTCCATGTCATTCAAGTTTACAATTTTTTAAAGACCAATGACTTTTTGGCTTGTTAATTATGTCAGTTGTTTTATTCACCAAAGCAATAAATTGACATGACATGTCTATCAGCAATGCAACTGATGTTTCATCATTAACATTAACCTTTACACCATGAAGATGCCAAAGTAATTTGTTGATAGTGTTTTTATCCGTGATTCAGTAGATAACACACTGATAGTGTCACCTTCCATCAACAGGAAGATGCCCTCCAACAGGGAGTTCTGGTCTTGCATCGACATGGGCGTGTGGAGTAGCACTCGCTTGTCCTCCCCCTTTCTGTGCCGAATGACCTTGTGGTCAGTCTGCTGGCTCAGGAGGAGATGGGAGTAGATGTAGTAGTAGCTGGACACCGACACAGCCAGCTGCCTGTCCACCATCTCAAACCCAACCTTCACCTTGCAGCTCCACTGCAAGGCGGATGATTCAGACTTTGCATCTGTAACAGAATAACAGTGTAGAAGATTTCCTGACCTGTCTGATTAATGCCATACCATTCATACCACAATCACCCAGAAAACACTTTGATGTCTGAATATGTGAAAGACGGATATGTGTGATGGAATGATTAGACCGAATCAGTTCAAGTACAACTATGAAACACCTACAGATACATGCTACATGTCTACATACTGCCTGTAGTGATCTAGCTGTAGTGAGGCTACATGTCTACATACTGCCTGTAGTGAGGTTACATGTCTACATACTGCCTGTAGTGGTAGAGCTGTAGCAAGGCTACATGTCTATTGTTGCCTGTAGTGGTAGAGCTGTAGTGAGGCTACATGTTTACATACTGCCTGTAGTGATATAGCTGTAGTGAGGCTACATGTCTACATATTGCTTGTAGTGAGGCTACATGTCTACATATTGCCTGTAGTGAGGTTACATGTCTACATACTGCCTGTAGTGGTAGAGCTGTAGCAAGGCTACATGTCTACATATTGCCTGTAGGGTAGAGCTGTAGTGAGGCTACATGTCTACATACTGCCTGTAGTGATATAGCTGTAGTGAGGCTACATGTCTACATATTGCCTGTAGTGAGGCTACATGTCTACATACTGCCTGTAGTGATAGTAGTGAGGCTACATGTCTACATACTGCCTGTAGTGATATAGCTGTAGTGAGGCTACATGTCTACATACTGCCTGTAGTGATATAGCTGTAGTGAGGCTACATGTCTACATACTGCCTGTAGTGATATAGCTGTAGTGAGGCTACATGTCTACATACTGCCTGTAGTGATATAGCTGTAGTGAGGCTACATGTCTACATACTGCCTGTAGTGATATAGCTGTAGTGAGGCTACATGTCTACATACTGCCTGTAGTGAGGCTACATGTCTACATACTGCCTGTAGTGATATAGCTGTAGTGAGGCTACATGTCTACATATTGGCTGTAGTGATATAGCTGTAGTGAGGCTACATGTCTACATATTGTCTGTAGTGAGGTCTACATGTCTACATACTGCCTGTAGTGATATAGTTGTAGTGAGGCTACATGTCTACATACTGCCTGTAGTGATATAGCTGTAGTGAGGCTACATGTCTACATATTGTGAAGTTATATATGTAGTGAGGCTACATGTCTACATACTGCCTGTAGTGATATAGTTGTAGTGAGGCTACATGTCTACATATTGTCTGTAGTGAGGCTACATGTCTACATACTGGCTGTAGTGAGGTTACATGTCTACATACTGCCTGTAGTGATATAGCTGTAGTGAGGCTACATGAGGCTTACATGTCTACATACTGCCTGTAGTGATATAGTTGTAGTGAGGCTACATGTCTACATACTGCCTGTAGTGATATAGTTGTAGTGAGGCTACATGTCTACATATTGTCTGTAGTGAGGCTACATGTCTACATACTGCCTGTAGTGATATAGTTGTAGTGAGGCTACATGTCTACATACTGCCTGTAGTGAGATAGCTGTAGTGAGGCTACATGTCTACATACTGCCTGTAGTGATATAGTTGTAGTGAGGCTACATGTCTACATACTGCCTGTAGTGATATAGGTAGTGAGGCTACATGTCTACATACTGCCTGTAGTGAGTGACATAGTATACTGCTGTATATAGTGTAGTGAGGTTACATGTCTACATACTGCCTGTAGTGATATAGTTGTAGTGAGGCTACATGTCTACATACTGCCTGTAGTGAGATAGTTGTAGTGAGGCTACATGTCTACATACTGCCTGTAGTGATATAGTTGTAGTGAGGCTACATGTCTACATACTGCCTGTAGTGATATAGTTGTAGTGAGGCTACATGTCTACATACTGCCTGTAGTGATATAGTTGTAGTGAGGCTACATGTCTACATATTGGCTGTAGTGATATAGTTGTAGTGAGGTTACATGTCTACATACTGCCTGTAGTGATATAGTTGTAGTGAGGCTACATGTCTACATATTGGCTGTAGTGATATAGTTGTAGTGAGGCTACATGTCTGTAGTGATATAGTTGTAGTGAGGCTACATGTCTAGTAGTGAGGTAGTGAGGCTACATGTCTACATACTGCCTGTAGTGATATAGTTGTAGTGAGGCTACATGTCTACATATTGGCTGTAGTGAGATAGTTGTAGTGAGGCTACATGTCTACATACTGCCTGTAGTGATATAGTTGTAGTGAGGTTACATGTCTACATACTGCCTGTAGTGATATAGTTGTAGTGAGGCTACATGTCTACATATTGGCTGTAGTGAGGCTACATGTCTACATACTGCCTGTAGTGAGGAGGCACATGTCTACATGCCTGTAGTGATATAGTTGTAGTGAGGCTACATGTCTACATATTGTCTGTAGTGAGGCTACATGTCTACATGTCTAGTGTAGTGAGGGTTACATGTCTACATACTGCTAGTTGTAGTGAGGCTACATACATACTGCCTGTGAGTACATGTCTACATACTTGTAGTGAGGCTACATGTCTACATATTGTAGTGTAGTGAGGAGGCTACATGTCTACATACTGCCTGTGAGGTTACATGTCTACATACTACATGTCTACATATTGTGTAGTGAGGCTACATGTCTCTACATATTGGCTGTGAGTGAGGCTACATGTCTACATACTGCCTGTAGTGAGGCTAGTGATGTCATGTCTACATACTGCCTGTAGTGATATAGTTGTAGTGAGGCTACATGTCTACATATTGTCTGTAGTGAGGCTACATGTCTACATACTGCCTGTAGTGATATAGTTGTAGTGAGGCTACATGTCTACATATTGTCTGTAGTGAGGTTACATGTCTACATACTGCCTGTAGTGATATAGTTGTAGTGAGGCTACATGTCTACATATTGGCTGTAGTGATATAGTTGTAGTGAGGCTACATGTCTACATACTGCCTGTAGTGAGGTTACATGTCTACATGTCTACATACTGCCTGTAGTGATATAGTTGTAGTGAGGCTACATGTCTACATATTGTCTGTAGTGAGGCTACATGTCTACATACTGCCTGTAGTGAGGTTACATGTCTACATACTGCCTGTAGTGATATAGTTGTAGTGAGGCTACATGTCTACATATTGTAGTGCTGTAGTGAGTGAGGCTACATGTCTACATACTGCCTGTAGTGATATAGTTGTAGTGAGGCTACATGTCTACATACTGTCTGTAGTGAGGCTACATGTCTACATACTGCCTGTAGTGATATAGTTGTAGTGAGGCTACATGTCTACATATTGTCTGTAGTGAGGCTACATGTCTACATATTGCCTGTAGTGAGGCTAGATGTCTACATATGTGTTGTAGTGAGGCTACATGTCTACATATTGGCTGTAGTGAGGCTACATGTCTACATACTGCCTGTAGTGAGGCTACATGTCTACATACTGCCTGTAGTGATATAGTTGTAGTGAGGCTACATGTCTACATATTGTCTGTAGTGAGGCTACATGTCTACATACTGCCTGTAGTGATATAGTTGTAGTGAGGCTACATGTCTACATATTGTCTGTAGTGAGGCTACATGTCTACATACTGCCTGTAGTGATATAGTTGTAGTGAGGCTACATGTCTACATATTGGCTGTAGTGAGGCTACATGTCTACATACTGCCTGTAGTGATATAGTTGTAGTGAGGCTACATGTCTACATATTGTCTGTAGTGAGGCTACATGTCTACATGTCTACATGTCTACATATTGTCTGTAGTGAGGCTACATGTCTACATACTGCCTGTAGTGATATAGTTGTAGTGAGGCTACATGTCTACATATTGTCTGTAGTGAGGCTACATGTCTACATACTGCCTGTAGTGATATAGTTGTAGTGAGGCTACATGTCTACATATGGCTGTCTGTAGTGAGGAGGCTACATGTCTACATACTGCCTGTAGTGATATAGTTGTAGTGAGGCACATGTCTACATATTGTCTGTCTACATATTGAGGAGGCTACATGTCTACATATTGCCTGTAGTGATATAGTTGTAGTGAGGCTACATGTCTGTAGTGATGTCTACATACCGCCTGTAGTGATATAGTTGTAGTGAGGCTACATGTCTACATATTGTCTGTAGTGAGGCTACATGTCTACATACTGCCTGTAGTGATATAGTTGTAGTGAGGCTACATGTCTACATATTGTCTGTGAGGTGAGTGAGGCTACATGTCTACATACTGCCTGTAGTGATATAGTTGTAGTGAGGCTACATGTCTACATTGTTGTAGTGAGGTTACATGTAGTGAGGCTACATGTCTACATATTGTCTGTAGTGAGGCTACATGTCTACATACTGCCTGTAGTGATATAGTTGTAGTGAGGCATGTCTACATACTGCTGTACATATAGTCTGTAGTGAGGCTACTACATATTGTCTGTAGTGAGGCTACATGTCTACATACTGCCTGAGTACATGTCTACATGTCTATTGAGTGAGGTTACATGTCTACATGTGCCTGTAGTGATATAGTTGTAGTGAGGCTACATGTCTACATACTTGTCTGTAGTGAGGCTTACATGTCTAGTGATATAGTTGTAGTGAGGCTACATGTCTACATATTGTCTGTTGTGAGGTAGTGAGGTTACATGTCTGTATATATGCCTGTAGTGAGGCTACATGTCTACATATTGTCTGTAGTGAGGCTACATGTCTACATATTGGCTGTAGTGAGGCTACATGTCTACATACTGCCTGTAGTGATATAGTTGTAGTGAGGCTACATGTCTACATATTGGCTGTAGTGAGGTTACATGTCTACATACTGCCTGTAGTGATATAGTTGTAGTGAGGCTACATGTCTACATATTGATATGTAGGCTACATGTGAGGAGGTTACATGTCTACATACTGCCTGTAGTGATATAGTTGTAGTGAGGCTACATGTCTACATATTGGCTGTAGTGAGGTTACATGTCTACATACTGCCTGTAGTGATATAGTTGTAGTGAGGCTGGCTACATAGCTACATATTGTCTGTAGTGAGGCTGTACATGTCTACATACTGCCTGTAGTGATATAGCTGTAGTGAGGCTACATGTCTACATATTGGCTGTAGTGAGGCTACATGTCTACATACTGCCTGTAGTGATATATTGTTGTAGTGAGGCTACATGTCTACATATTGGCTGTAGTGAGGCTACATGTCTACATACTTGGCTGTAGTGATATATAGTTGTAGTGAGGCTACATGTCTACATATTGGCTGTAGTGAGGCTACATGTCTACATACATCTTGTAGTGTAGTGTAGTGAGGCTACATGTCTACATACTGCCTGTAGTGATATAGCTGTAGTGAGGCTACATGTCTACATACTGCCTGTAGTGATATAGTTGTAGTGAGGCTACATGTCTACATATTGGCTGTTAGTGAGGTTACATGTCTACATACTGCCTGTAGTGATATAGTTGTAGTGAGGCTACATGTCTACATATTGGCTGTAGTGAGGCTACATGTCTACATACTGCCTGTAGTGATATAGTTGTAGTGAGGCTACATGTCTACATATTGGCTGTAGTGAGGCTACATGTCTACATACTGCCTGTAGTGATATAGTTGTAGTGAGGCTACATGTCTACATATTGTCTGTAGTGAGGCTACATGTCTACATACTGCCTGTAGTGATATAGTTGTAGTGAGGCTACATGTCTACATATTGGCTGTAGTGAGGCTACATGTCTACATACTGCCTGTAGTGATATAGTTGTAGTGAGGCTACATGTCTACATATTGTAGTGAGGCTACATGTCTACATACTGCCTGTAGTGATATAGTTGTAGTGAGGCTACATGTCTACATATTGATCTGTAGTGAGGTTACATGTCTACATACTGCCTGTAGTGATATAGTTGTAGTGAGGCTACATGTCTACATATTGTCTGTAGTGAGGCTACATGTCTACATACTGCCTGTAGTGATATAGTTGTAGTGAGGCTACATGTCTACATATTGGCTGTAGTGAGGCTACATGTCTACATACTGCCTGTAGTGATATAGTTGTAGTGAGGCTACATGTCTACATATTGTCTGTAGTGAGGCTACATGTCTACATATTGGCTGTAGTGAGGCTACATGTCTACATACTGCCTGTAGTGATATAGTTGTAGTGAGGCTACATGTCTACATATTGTCTGTAGTGAGGCTACATGTCTACATATTGCCTGTAGTGAGGCTACATGTCTACATACTGCCTGTAGTGATATAGCTGTAGTGAGGCTACATGTCTACATATTGCCTGTAGTGATATAGTTGTAGTGAGGCTACATGTCTACATATTGGCTGTAGTGAGGCTACATGTCTACATACTGCCTGTAGTGATATAGTTGTAGTGAGGCTACATGTCTACATATTGTCTGTAGTGAGGCTACATGTCTACATACTGCCTGTAGTGATATAGCTGTAGTGAGGCTACATGTCTACATATTGGCTGTAGTGAGGTTACATGTCTACATACTGCCTGTAGTGATATAGCTGTAGTGAGGCTACATGTCTACATACTGCCTGTAGTGATATAGTTGTAGTGAGGCTACATGTCTACATACTGCCTGTAGTGATATAGCTGTAGTGAGGCTACATGTCTACATACTGCCTGTAGTGATATAGTTGTAGTGAGGCTACATGTCTACATATTGTCTGTAGTGAGGCTACATGTCTACATATTGCCTGTTGTGAGGCTACATGTCTACATACTGCCTGTAGTGATATAGTTGTAGTGAGGCTACATGTCTACATATTGTCTGTAGTGAGGCTACATGTCTACATACTGCCTGTAGTGAGGATACATGTCTGATACTGCCTGTAGTGATATAGCTGTATGTCTACATATACTGCCTGTAGTGATATAGCTGTAGTGAGGCTTACATGTCTACATACTGCCTGTAGTGATATAGCTGTAGTGAGGCTACATGTCTACATATTGTCTGTAGTGAGGCTACATGTCTACATACTGCCTGTAGTGATATAGTTGTAGTGAGGCTACATGTCTACATATTGTCTGTAGTGAGGCTACATGTCTACATATTGTCTGTAGTGAGGCTACATGTCTACATACTGCCTGTTGTGAGGATACATGTCTGAATACTGCCTGTACTGATATAGCTGTAGTGAGGCTACATGTCTACATACTGCATGTAGTGACATAGCTGTAGTGAGGGTAGATCTCTACATACTGCCTGTAGTGGTAGAGCTGTAGTGAGGGTAGATGTCTACATACTGCCTGTAGTGGTTGAGCTGTAGGGAGGGTAGATGTCTACATACTGCCTGTAATGAGGAGGTTGCAGTGTGCCATATTTCCGGTACCAAAGGCGTGTTCACTGCGATGTCTGCCATTCAGGGTCTGTTCATTTGATGCAGGATCTGTTTGTTGGTAAACAAATATAAACGTGTTATTTACATATCAAAACAAGAAAGACATAAACGTTTGACAATAATGGATTGAGTAAAGGCGAGAAAGTATGGATGTCGACTTCTATATTTTGAGGGACACAACGTTTCGGAGTATATTCTTACTGCTTCATCAGGTGAATGAAAGACTAGGAATCAGATAGCAATATAAATACATGTGAAACAACAACAGCGATAAAATAACAAGGGAACCCAGTAGTATATTAGCACTAAATTGGTAAAGTGGATGGACGAGTGGAAGCCAGAGATTATTAATCCAGACATGAATGATACGACACAATGGTTGCATTTAATCAGGGAAAAGAAATACACAAAGCCAGGATTTAATCACAACTTAATTATTGATAAGTACAAGGACAATGAAGCCAGCAGATTTTTTCCCTGGTCACGGTTGATTGCTGGTTGGGATCTCCTGATGTCTATGGCCTCTTGTAGTTTTCCTTTGACGCCAGTTGTTGTTGTTAGATAGGACTTTGGTGGCTTAACACATGATGGCGCGGTCCTGGTTCTTGTTGCTTGACTGTTTGTGCAGACTAATCTCATCGTGTGTACAAAACTGTTTCACGTCTCAAAATCTGTTCACAGCATGTATAGAACTGTTATCAGAATGCACACCAATGTTACATAGGGTACTGAATTGTTTATTTTTGTCCCCCGCAACGTAGAAGGGAGGACTATGTATGTATTCAGCAGCGTCCGTATGTCCCGATTCTTGTTAACGCAATATCTCATGTACTGTTGTACGCAATGTCTTCAAATTTGGTGACACCCTACATTGAGGGATTATACAGACACCAGTCGATTTGTGTGACCTTGACCTTATCTTCAAGGTCGCCATGACACTTGGACCACTATTCAAATTTATGTAAACACGATATTTCATAAAACGTTGCGCCCAATGTCTTCAGTTATGTGGACAGCCTACATTGGGTGATTACACAGTGACTAGTAAATTCAGGGCGACATTGACCTTATTTTCAGGGTCACATGACACTTTTCAAAATATTGTTAACTGTATAACTACTTCACACAAAAAGTAATTGTCTATGTGATCAAAAGATAAAAACTGGTAAATATGTTATATTTAATTCTTCTTTAGCGTCGGGGGACACGGCCATGTTAGTGGCAAACACTTTTCAAAGTTGTTAAACTGTGCATAATTATCTCGCTGTGTTCAGAATTGTTTCATAATATATCGATATGTTTCAGTTGAGATGGAAATTCGTTACTGCTTACCTTCAGTCAGAAGGTGATTCGAATGTTGCTGTACAAACTGAAACAGGAGAAAAACATATCTGTTAAAGTGAATTAGGTCAGAGGTGTCATGTTATGTACCACTCTATTGACTGCTAGCCCACGACACCTCCCAGAGAGTTGTGACAGGTGTCATGTTATGTACCACTCTATTGACTGCTACCCCACGACATCCAGAGAGTTGTGACAGGTGTCATGTTATGTACCACTCTATTGACTGCTACCCCACGACATCCAGAGAGTTGTGACAGGTGTCATGTTATGTACCACTCTATTGACTGCTACCCCACCATATCCAGAGAGTTGTAACAGGTGTCATGTTATGTACCACTCTATTGACTGCTACCCCACGATATCCAGAGAGTTGTGACAGGTGTCATGTTATGTACCACTCTATTGACTGCTAGCCCACCACCTGCTACCCCGATATCCAGAGAGTTGTGACAGGTGTCATGTTATGTACCACTCTATTGACTGCTAGCCCACCACCTCCAGAGAGTTGTGACAGGTGTCATGTTATGTACCACTCTATTGACTGCTAGCCCACGACATCCAGAGAGTTGTGACAGGTGTCATGTTATGTACCACTCTATTGACTGCTAGCCCACGATATCCAGAGAGTTGTGACAGGTGTCATGTTATGTACCACTCTATTGACTGCTACCCACGCTGCCATGTCATGTTATCCAGAGAGTTGTGACAGGTGTCATGTTATGTACCACTCTATTGACTGCTACCACGATATCCAGAGAGTTGTGACAGGTGTCATGTTATGTACCACTCTATTGACTGCTACCCCACGATATCCAGAGAGTTGTAACAGGTGTCATGTTATGTACCACTCTATTGACTGCTAGCCCACCACATCCAGAGAGTTGTGACAGGTGTCAGAGAGTTGTGACGTGTTATGTACCACTCTATTGACTGCTACCCCACGATATCCAGAGTTGTAACGGGTTGTGACAGGTGTCATGTTATGTACCACTCTATTGACTGCTAGCCCACTGCTACCTCCAGAGAGTTGTGACAGGTGTCATGTTATGTACCACTCTATTGACTGCTAGCCCACCATCCAGAGAGTTGTGACACAGGTGTCATGTTATGTACCACTCTATTGACTGCTAGCCCACGATATCCAGAGAGTTGTGACAGGTGTCATGTTATGTACCACTCTATTGACTGCTAGCCCACGATATCCAGAGAGTTGTGACAGGTGTCATGTTATGTACCACTCTATTGACTGCTAGCCCACGATATCCAGAGAGTTGTGACAGGTGTCATGTTATGTACCACTCTATTGACTGCTAGCCACCACGACATCCAGAGAGTTGTGACAGGTGTCATGTTATGTACCACTCTATTGACTGCTACCCCACGATATCCAGAGAGTTGTGACAGGTGTCATGTTATGTACCACTCTATTGACTGCTAGCCCACGACATCCAGAGAGTTGTGACAGGTGTCATGTTATGTACCTCTCTATTGACTGCTAGCCCACGACATCCAGAGAGTTGTGACAGGTGTCATGTTATGTACCACTCTATTGACTGCTAGCCCACCACCTCCAGAGAGTTGTGACAGAGGATCCGTTGTACGGTATTTCCTCTAATAATAACCGCCCAGCCACATAATTTTTCAACGGAGTTCCGGACCCGGCGCTTATTAGAGGCTCCTGCGCTTTGGCGCTTACTGGTGTAGTTACCGTAATTGTTAGATGCTTTATCCCCGGCGCTTATTGGAGGAAATACGGTATGTATAATATAAGCGTGGTTCAGTAACTGTACATCATAGAGTTACTATCTCCATCCATAAAACCAATGAGTCAATTTACCAAAATTCAAATCCAAAACTAAAATAACTGCTAAAAACACTCAAACAAACTGAAGTTAGACCATAAACCCAAATGTAAAGACGGGTCGATAACAAAATTTAACTCCCACCGACATGAATTTAGTAATAAAGAAAACACCAAACGGACAAGTGCACACGCCCAAAGAAACGTCCGAACCTGTCCGACTACACACTACAAACAACAGGGAATGGTTGTCCAAAGCCCGCTGGACACCAGCACACTCGTAACACGTAGTACTCCTAAGCCCACTAAATAACAACCATACTTTCAAAGCTGGTATCTTTCAAATCAAAACTGGGGCGGTGGGGTAGCCTAGTGGTTAAAGCGTTCGCTCATCACGCGGTTTCGATTCCACACAATGTCATGTGTGCAATGTGTGAAGCCCATTTCAGGTGTCCCCAGCCGTGATATTGCTGGAATATTGCTAAAGGCGGCGTAAAACTAAACTCACCCACTCACTCTAATCAAAACTGGCCTTGTTGGTCGCATATAATCCCACATAACCCACTTATAGCGCCAGAGGTGCCATGTTACGTACCACTCTACCCACATGCTCTGTTTACCACTGGAGTCCATATCAACAATACTGGAATGTCTTCCCGGTTTGGTCTCACCTGCGGATGTCCCATGGGTCGAGGTCTTACGTGTCATGGTTCCCGACTGAGTAGGACCTTGCTTGTATCAACCACTCGTTTATCGTGTTCAGATTCGACCATTTAGAGACGGGATGATTATTCTTGTGTTCAAAGTTTAACATATATACACACGTATCAAATCAGACGTAAGAATAGTCAAATAGTGACATGAACCTACCGAATCAAATACGTCTATCAGTTTGCCAATTGTTCTGAAACAACAGAACTCTCTGTACTTTGAGGAGCGAGTTTCCCTTATGATCTGATCATCCTTCAACATGGCACATTTAGCACACAATGAAAACGCTTCATACTTCCCCTGCCCCGAGAGACGTAAACACGGACCCTCCGTAGTTCGGGGAATACTTCCTGTGGATGTTCTCATGTTACCATATGGGTGGTGATGCGAAGTCGGTGACTCAACGTCCCTCTGGTTGGCTTCATAATCATACACCATCGCATTTGTGACACGTTATTTGAACCTGTTTTCATTTCCTCGTCATGTTATGTTGGTGCGTTCTATTGTGGCTTGCAGTGTCTTTCCGGGGGTTTCATACAAAAGTTACCGATTTCCCAGTTTTTCAACTACCATGCTTGGTGTCAGAAGAGTCCTAGTTTGACCTTGGGTACCACGGCAGGATCCAGTGAGTGAGACAAATAGATAACAGACTATTTACGCTTACAAATTATTAGTCTTCAACGCACTGATTGAATGAATTAGAATATTTGTGCTCTCCTTCTTTATGTGTGTCGGTAGGTGAGTATGGTTTAATGCGCTTTTAACACTTATCCAGCAACATCACGGCAGGAGACACCAGGAATGCGCTTCAAACAAAGATTGTACCAAAGTGTGGAATCGAACCCGGGTGTCGGCGTGACGCTTTAACCACTGGGCTACCCCGCCGCCCCTCTGTGTGTGCGTGCGGCTATGTGTGTGTGTGTGTGTCTGTCTGTCTCTCTCTTTGTGTGTGTGGGTGTGTGACAGGTGCTCATAATGTCAACGTCTTCGTGTAATATCATGAAGATCATCTTGATCAAAATATTTATTTCAAATAAATATTGTACACCACCTTCGTCAGTTTTTGTGATTGTCCAGTCCAGTTTCAATTATTTTCAGGCCGTCGTTATACAATCGATGACACACAACTGATCAGTTGCTGTAAGCAGCTATACATGGTACTAAGACACGTGAGTAAGTTGGTTAATGTAAGCAAAACACGTGAGTAAGTTGGTTAATGTAAGCAAAACACGTGAGTAAGTTGGTTAATGTAAGCAAAACACGTGAGTAAGTTGGTTAATGTAAACAGCTATACATGGTACCTGACACGTGGAATGGTTGGTCAGTAAGCACGTCAGACACGTAAGTTGACACTCAGACACGTTAGTTAATGTAAGCAGCTATATATGACACTCAGACACGTGAGTAAGTTGGTTAATGTAAGCAGCTATATATGACACTCCAGACACGTGTAAGTAAGTTGGTTAATGTAAGCAGCTATATATGACACTCAGACACGTGAGTAAGTTGGTTAATGTAAGCAGCTATATATGACACTCAGACACATGAGTAAGTTGGTTAATGTAAGCAGCTATATATGACACTCAGACACGTGAGTAAGTTGGTTAATGTAAGCAGCTATATATGACACTCAGACACGTGAGTAAGTTGGTTAATGTAAGCAGCTATATATGACACTCCAGACACGTGAGTAAGTTGGTTAATGTAAGCAGCTATATATGACACTCTACATGACACGACACGAGTAAGTTGGTTAATGTAAGCAGCTATATATGACACTCAGACACGTGAGTAAGTTGGTTAATGTAAGCAGCTATATATGACACTCAGACACGTGAGTAAGTTGGTTAATGTAAGCAGCTATATATGACACTCAGACACGTGAGTAAGTTGGTTAATGTAAGCAGCTATATATGACACTCAGACACGTGAGTAAGTTGGTTAATGTAAGCAGCTATATATGACACTCAGACACGTGAGTAAGTTGGTTAATGTAAGCAGCTATATATGACACTCCAGACACGTGAGTAAGTTGGTTAATGTAAGCAGCTATATGACACTCAGACACGTGAGTAAGTTGGTCAATGTAAGCAACCATCGACACCAGACACGTGAGTAAGTTGGTTAATATAAGCGTAACACGCAGTTATATATGACACTCAGACACGTGAGTAAGTTGGTTAATGTAAGCAGCTATATGTAATGTAAGCAGCTATATATGACACTCAGACACGTGAGTAAGTTGGTTAATGTAAGCAGCTATATATGACACTCAGACACGTGAGTAAGTTGGTTAATGTAAGCAGCTATATATGACACTGTCAGACACGTGAGTAAGTTGGTTAATGTAAGCAGCTATATATGACACTCAGACACGTGAGTAAGTTGGTTAATGTAAGCAGCTATATATGACACTCAGACACGTGAGTAAGTTGGTTAATGTAAGCAGCTATATATGACACTCAGACACGTGAGTAAGTTGGTTAATGTAAGCAGCTATATATGACACTCAGACACGTGAGTAAGTTGGTTAATGTAAGCAGCTATATATGACACTCAGACACGTGAGTAAGTTGGTTAATGTAAGCAGCTATATATGACACTCAGACACGTGAGTAAGTTGGTTAATGTAAGCAGCTATATATGACACTCAGACACGTGAGTAAGTTGGTTAATGTAAGCAGCTATATATGACACTCAGACACGTGAGTAAGTTGGTTAATGTAAGCAGCTATATATGACACTCAGACACGTGAGTAAGTTGGTTAATGTAAGCAGCTATATATGACACTCAGACACGTGAGTAAGTTGGTTAATGTAAGCAGCTATATATGACACTCACGACACGTGACACGTGAGTAAGTTGGTTAATGTAAGCAGCTATATATGACACTCAGACACGTGAAGTAAGTTAGTTAATGTAAGCAGCTATATATGACACTCAGACACGTGAGTAAGTTGGTTAATGTAAGCAGCTATATATGACACTCAGACACGTGAGTAAGTTGGTTAATGTAAGCAGCTATATATGACACTCAGACACGTGAGTAAGTTAGTTAATGTAAGCAGCTATATATGACACCAGACACGTGAGTAAGTTGGTTAATGTAAGCAGCTATATATGACACCTCAGACACGTGAGTAAGTTGGTTAATGTAAGCAGCTATATATGACACTCAGACACGTGAGTAAGTTGGTTAATGTAAGCAGCACGTATATATAAGCGCGACACTCAGACACGTGAGTAAGTTGGTTAATGTAAGCAGCTATATATGACACTCAGACACGTGAGTAAGTTGGTTAATGTAAGCAGCTATATATGACACTCAGACACGTGGAGTAAGTTAGTTAATGTAAGTAGCTATATATGACACTCAGACACGTAAGTAAGTTGGTTAATGTAAGCAGCTATATATGACACTCAGACACGGCAGTAAGTTTGTTAATGTAAGCAGCTATATATGACACTCAGACACGTGAGTAAGTTGGTTAATGTAAGCAGCTATATATGACACTCAGACACGTGAGTAAGTTGGTTAATGTAAGTAGCTATATATGACACTCAGACACGTGAGTAAGTTGGTTAATGTAAGCAGCTATATATGACACTCAGACACGTGAGTAAGTTGGTTAATGTAAGCAGCTATATATGAGACACGTCAGACACGTGAGTAAGTTGGTTAATGTAAGCAGCTATATATGACACTCAGACACGTGAGTAAGTTGGTTAATGTAAGCAGCTATATATGTCACTCAGACACGTGAGTAAGTTGGTTAATGTAAGCAGCTATATATGACACTCAGACACGTGAGTAAGTTGGTTAATGTAAGCAGCTATATATGTCACTCAGACACGTGAGTAAGTTGGTTAATGTAAGCAGCTATATATGACACTCAGACACGTGAGTAAGTTGGTTAATGTAAGCAGCTATATATGACACTCAGACACGTGAGTAAGTTGGTTAATGTAAGCAGCTATATATGACACTCAGACACGTGAGTAAGTTGGTTAATGTAAGCAGCTATATATGACACTCAGACACGTGAGTAAGTTGGTTAATGTAAGCAGCTATATATGACACTCAGACACGTGAGTAAGTTGGTTAATGTAAGCAGCTATATATGACACTCAGACACGTGAGTAAGTTGGTTAATGTAAGCAGCTATATATGACACTCAGACACGTGAGTAAGTTATATGGTTAATGTAAGCAGCTATATATGACACTCAGACACGTGAGTAAGTTGGTTAATGTAAGCAGCTATATATGACACTCAGACACGTGAGTAAGTTGGTTAATGTAAGCAGCTATATATGACACTCAGACACGTGAGTAAGTTGGTTAATGTAAGCAGCTATATATGACACTCAGACACGTGAGTAAGTTGGTTAATGTAAGCAGCTATATATGACACTCAGACACGTGAGTAAGTTGGTTAATGTAAGCAGCTATATATGACACTCAGACACGTGAGTAAGTTGGTTAATGTAAGCAGCTATATATGACACTCAGACACGTGAGTAAGTTGGTTAATGTAAGCAGCTATATATGACACTCAGACACGTGAGTAAGTTGGTTAATGTAAGCAGCTATATATGACACTCAGACACGTGAGTAAGTTGGTTAATGTAAGCAGCTATATATGACACTCAGACACGTGAGTAAGTTGGTTAATGTAAGCAGCTATATATGACACTCAGACACGTGAGTAAGTTGGTTAATGTAAGCAGCTATATATGACACTCAGACACGTGAGTAAGTTGGTTAATGTAAGCAGCTATATATGTTACTCAGACACGTGAGTAAGTTGGTTAATGTAAGCAGCTATATATGTCACTCAGACACGTGAGTAAGTTGGTTAATGTAAGCAGCTATATATGACACTCAGACACGTGAGTAAGTTGGTTAATGTAAGCAGCTATATATGACACTCAGACACGTGAGTAAGTTGGTTAATGTAAGCAGCTATATATGACACTCAGACACGTGAGTAAGTTGGTTAATGTAAGCAGCTATATATGACACTCAGACACGTGAGTAAGTTGGTTAATGTAAGCAGCTATATATGACACTCAGACACGTGAGTAAGTTGGTTAATGTAAGCAGCTATATATGACACTCAGACACGTGAGTAAGTTAGTTAATGTAAGCAGCTATATATGACACTCAGACACGTGAGTAAGTTGGTTAATGTAAGCAGCTATATATGACACTCAGACACGTGAGTAAGTTGGTTAATGTAAGCAGCTATATATGACACTCAGACACGTGAGTAAGTTGGTTAATGTAAGCAGCTATATATGACACTCAGACACGTGAGTAAGTTGGTTAATGTAAGCAGCTATATATGACACTCAGACACGTGAGTAAGTTGGTTAATGTAAGCAGCTATATATGACACTCAGACACGTGAGTAAGTTGGTTAATGTAAGCAGCT